ATTTCTGGACTGAGGTCATTTGTATTAGGCAGGATTTTTGTTTTATGAAGAAATATGTGGAAACAATTTGTGTGTATCTGATTTAACATTTTTTAATATGAGGGGGAACACCTCAAGTCATGCAGCAGACTGTTAATGTTTGCTATTTACAAAAGCAGATTTCACCATGGTCACCAGGCCTGCACGTTGGACATACAGAGAGCGAAAGAGAATCATTTCCTATTTGAAACCTCATTGTGTAACCAAAACATATAGCTGTGAGCTGCCTTGCAACCCCTGAAGTATCCAGAGATATGCTGATCCCATAGGATTAGAGAAGATGAGGGGCAGTCAGGATGGGGCTTGTTAAAGGGTCTCAGTTTTGGATTAGGGGGAAACATCTTCCCTTACACAGTCATCTCATAGGGGAGGACCACAGGCAAGACCAGCCACCATTCACAATTCACTGTCGTGAGCAGAAAAGGGGAACTGTGTAGAGACAGTGCATGAATTAGTTCCTTTTTAAGGGTGCAAAAATAAAACCAGAAAATGTAAATTCTTAATGAAACAGGCAGCTCCAACACTGCCACACAAAGCCAAAATGTAGTAACTTTACTTTATGACATATAAAGAGTTATTTTGCCATGGAAATGCAGGATTGCCATGACTCTAATTGCTGCCCTCTGGCTGTGTATTTATGAGGGGCTCATCCCTACGTTCTCAGGGTCTTATGTTCCCAACATGTGCCTCTTGATATAAACTAATATTGTAAGAGATTGGTAACATTGGTACAATCCTCGCAAAATAACTAAGGCAGAATGTTTCAAATACAGTTTGACAAATAAAAATCCATTCAACCAACTGTCTTTCCCACAAATCAAAGAGTATAACATCAGTAGGTTGCAAGGTGGGTGATTTAAACACACTGACACAGGGAAACATACATAACATTTAGCCATTGCTGAAAACATAAAACCCTTTGAAAGATATTAAAGAGGTGGTATTTGCTTTTCCCCCCTCTCCTTTATTGAGTTATATCTCTTTTTTGTGCATGTAACAGGTTTGCAAAGTGAAAAAGCCCAAATTCCAGCCCAAAGGGAGTTCCCATCTCACAGAAAACTCTGCTCTGAACCACTTGAAAACAGCTCGTTTGTAGTCCAACCCTTCACTTCCTTTACGTGTGACGTCACAATGAAAACGCGTCATAAAGCTTGCCAAGCGGCTAGCGGGGTCAGGCACGCCCTCAAACCAAGCTACTCTGAGCGGAGGCCCTGTGGCTCGACTCACCTTTGTTTGGTTTTCCATTGTAGAAATGTTGTACCTGCTTCCAGGTACTTTTCACCTCACCTCCGTCGAGGTTCCAAGGGAGCTGAGGGATACTAACATGTAACATGAAAACACGACAGACTGCTGACTGGTTAGAGAGAATCGTCACTATTCACTGCATCATCATTGCTGCACCAGACAGAGGCCAGCAACAGAAAGTTTTATATTTTACAGTTTCCGTATGTAATTTCATCACTAAATCCACTTCTGAGAAGTTTTGAGGTGAGAAATCCGCTGTGTAGATTTCAAATATTGACAGTTTTACGAGAAGTGATGGCGGAACAAAAATGTGCTTGAATAGCAGGGCTGAATAGAGTAGAGTCTATCGATTTGCGCTATGGTAGTATTTTTCAGCAAGGCAGCATAGATCATCAGAATTCCGGCAACAGTTCAACATTTAGTCCTAAAAGACGATGCAACTCAGACTCTGTTTGGGCCTGGAAATCCACAATCACAACCTGTAAGTATGCTTTATTGGTTGTGAAATATATTTAAAATAAACACGGCAATGTAACTTCACAGACTGTTCAAGTGCAGAGTTGTTGTAAACGTTGGCTAACACAGCTAAAGTTATAAATATAATGCTAATGTTACACCAGATGTGAAAGCTACTAAGCAAACGTTCAAATTGTTTGGCCAATTTTGATGTAAAATTTAGTTGAAATATGGTGATTTTTGTAGTGGTTTATGGTAAGATGTGGAACAATGATGTTGTGTGGTTGTGGACTGGTGTGTAACTCATACCATCTGCTAGGTTAAGGTCGCGGTCTGAAGTGGCTTACAACCCGCCTTTCTCTGCTTCTGATTGGCTAGTAGTCCTTACCTGGGAACTGCGCTTGTGTAACTCCCAACAAAGATTTTGTACAAGTAAGATGCATCACTCTGTAGCTCAAGAGCGGAGCGTACAACACGGTGAAAAGAGGAGCTGCAGCAATGTGCAGTATGAGAAAAATGTGGTGAAAATGAGCAAAATACCACCTCTTTAAGAGACTATTGAGCTAGGGAGTATATACCCTGGGAACATAGATACTCTCCCCTCTATAGTAAACAGACAGACACCAAGCATATTTTTAACCTTTCAGTTAAAATTAAGGTAGCTAAAACAGATATTGTCTTGGTGGATGTCCCACTTATTATTATAATGTATTATACTTCTAGTGAAGTATGTGCATTTTTAGGGATTATGTATGTCACTGACTGGTAATTAACCTTTAATATCACCCTAATAAAATCTAATTTAAGCCATACTAGTAGCTCTGCGCGGCTGTACTTAGCTGAATGCTAATGTGAACATGCTAACATGTTGATGTTAAGCAGATAAAATGTTCACCATGTTAGTTAGCATGCTAACATTTGGGAATTAGCAATAAGCACAACAGAGGCTACAGCTAAGGTTACTGGGAATGATATAACTTTTGCATTTGGTTTTAAACAAAGTATTGGAAGAATGTGGTGGACCGTCTGACATTAGGGCATAAAATCACAGCACTACAACTTTTGGGTCTGTTACACAGTTTGCCTTCACTGTTTCTGTTGCTAGTGCTCTCTGCCTTTGTATGGCAGAACAGTATGAGGCTATTCTGTGACAAGTGATATGAAATTACATAATAGGTGATCATCATCAAATGGACAGAGGGCTGGAATACTTGATGGCTGGGTGGCTGGCTGTCACTTTAAAAAAAAAAAAAAAAGTCAAGTAAGGCACAGGCATTTATCTAAGCCTGTGAAATCCACCACACAAAAAGGGAAAATTTAAGAGTGGTTCTCAAATAGCCAAATTCCATTTTCTCCTTGATACATCACAGTGGTGTGCTCACCTAGTAACTGGTAAACACGCATCAACAATGACTAAAAAGCTTTAATGAACCTCAATATATTCTCCAAAGAAAACAGTTAAAGTGTTGCCACACTGCAAAGCCTGAGGAATACCATCCCTGCTGCTATAACCTGAGTTATAACCTATGCTAACCTAACCTATGCTATAGCCTACTGGAATGGGATGTTCACACCATATATCTGCTTCAGCTGTGGTTTTTACAGATTTAATGTGCCAATCGCTATCACTGCTGGTACAGTGACATGCCAAAACAATACAGCATAAGGTGTCCTTGGCTGACTGGCTTACACCTGACCATGATAAAGAGCTAAAACTAAATTGCAGAGATTATGATCTGCCATAAAGTGTCTGAGTAACTGCATCCAAGGGCCAGAGCTCAACCTCAAACAATAGAGACAAAGATCTCATGCATGTGCGACACGTGCTTGAAAAGAAACTAAGACGTCCAGGTGTTCAGTCAGACTGATGATTGTTACTGCGTATGTCATACGATTGCATTGTTAGTGTCTGTGATATGGTCATTGTCAGGGTGCTGCTGGACAGGTGCTCCTCTTACATCTACTTGACACATGGTCATACATGAATTATTAATTAAAACCCTAAAGAGAGGAGAATCAGTTCTTTGGAAACGGAGGAGTTATCATATTCCAAGTCAGATTCTGATGTTGCTTCTACAATTTCACTTGTATACAATCAGGACAATCAGTCTGGTTAATGGGAACGCATATACCAAATGTGCCTTGTTATAAACACTGAGTACGGTGGAGGGAAGTAACATTTACTGTACTTAAGCACAGGTTTTGTACTTTCCACCACTTTTTAGAGAAATATGTTTACTTCACTACATGTACCTGACAGCTTAAGTTAATAGTTAATTTGAAGATGTAGATAATCAACAAATAAAATATGATGCATTTTGAAGATTAAACTACCCAACAGTAGAAAAAATACTTAAATTAGCTCCACCTCGACCAGTTACAACATTAATATGCTGCTTACACACTAATGCATAATAATGACTGAAAGTGGTGTTTACTGTAGATCCTTTTAGTTAAGTAAAAGTACAAATACCACAATATGAAAATACTCTTTTACAAGTAAGTATAGTATTCAAAAATGTACTCAGGTGAAAGTACAGTAGTATTATTAGGAAAATGGACTAATAATATTGAAATATAATATTATAAATATTTAAATGTTGAAAATTTCACATGCCTGAGTGTTTTATGTTATATTTTTGGAAATTGAAGTATTGACGCAATCTGAAAAGTAACCACCAAATAGCCAATAGGTGTTTGATAAACGTAGTGGAGTAAAAAGTACAATGTTTCTCTCTGAAATGTAGTGGAGTAGAATTATTAGGAGGCTAGAGTACAGTACAGTACTGCAATAAATGTACTCAGTTATTTTCCAACACTGTAATCAAATAATAATTATTCATATAGAGTACTTTTACTTGGAAGTACATTCTGATGACAATACTTCTGCACTTTCACCTGCAATAACAGATTTTTTGGCTATTTGGAGGTAGCAAATACAAGCTGTGAACACTACAATGACATATGATCACTTTTTAACTTACATGGAGAATGTGTTAGCTTACAGCTGCTTATTTACATCTCCCGCAGATATTGGAGCAACATTGGAATTCATTTGGAGGCATGTTTTTAGCCACCTGATGACCGAAAGTCCAAAATTCTATATTCAGTTTATGGCATCTACAATATCCTGAGAGAAATATCTGGCTCTTAAGCTGCTAAATACTACACTTATAACAGATAATAATGCATGATATTGCTTGTAATTCCATCAATGTACTCATTGATGTACTCATGTAAAAATAGTATGTGTCTCTAAGTATGTGTCAATAGTCTTTATTATTATGAATGTTTTCAATGTCAGCTTCATACTTGTACAAGTCAGAGGAAAGTCACAAATTCAGTGTGAAACATCGAACAATACCTGTGACTCAAATCTAGAAGCATAATATCCACATCAAGCCCTGGTCTTCGGTCTGAATGTGGGAGGAAGATACCCCCTAAACAGAAAGCTGCGCCTGAGCTACATGGCAGTGAGATGACTAAGCATAAGGCCTGCTGCCTGTGGCACTGTGCAGACATGTTCCATTCTGTCAGAGCTCTGCAGCACATAAGCACCATTTCACACGGTCCCCCGACTCTTGGCGAAGCGAGAGGGAACTTAAGAGGCTCTGCTGACAGGCTATACCGAGCATTTAAGCACTGTGGCTGTGTCTGCAACGTCTAACCTATTTTTGTTGTTTCCCCAATACTTTTTGAAAAACAAATATATAAAGAACAGGCACTTTTCAGTACCTTAAGTGCATACATGTACATTTTGAGCTAAGGTGGTGGGAGATGTGCTGGTGTTGATGTACAAACAAGAGCGGAAAAAACATCAAGGTGTCATTCCAAAACAGTTTTGTAATATCATGTAAAAGGCCTGCAGGTAGTGAGAAAATGCGATACATAAACTCGGAGTGAGATGCTAAAGGAGATTTTTTGTTGTTGTTGTTTTTGGCAGCCCAGGTGAGAAAAAATGAATTCATTGTTCTCCATGGGTGACTCATATATTATACAGCAGTGTCAGGAAAATCAACACTGAGTCCTATAGCAGGTATTTCCCCCCAAACAGTGACTATCTAAGCTAAGCATTCTCTTCAAACCAACCCCCCATTATCATTGAAGTGTGTTCACAGTGTGTGTGGTCTGAAAGTGGAAAACCCTTTGCTGTGTTGAGTCTTCAACACCACCTACTGGTGTTTGGCAGAAATGAGGAAATCATTAAATAGAAAACCCTTTACCAATGAATTATTTCAAGCAAATGAGTGTTTATATTCCTATGGTTATATTCCAATATTGCACTTGTGACCCCAAGTTAATTCATCTGCATCCATCCACTCAGCTGGAGAATTCAGGTTGTTGTTCCTGCTCCCTTGAATCTCTTCTGTACATTAACATGTACGCTGTGGGTCTGTAAAAAAATAACAACATTAAACATTTTGATGTAAATGTACAGAACAAAGTTATGCTTCTCAGAGTTAGGGCAGGAAAACGGGATAAAGGGAACTCAAAAAGAACATTTCATTACAGTAAACAGGAATAAAAAGTGAGAATATAACTACCAGGTGAAAGGCAAAAAGCTGTTGAAAGACAACGTGACAGGCAAGATGGATTTCCTCTGCTTAAGCGTTCAAAACTTTGAAAGCCCTAATGGCAAAAACACCTTTAGTCTTTAATCTTCCCAGAGGAACGGACAATAAGGCTTTGTCTAAAGATCTAAAGCTCTTTCCGCAAGTGGGAAGATAAAAGCGGCATGATATCAGCAGGAGTCAAGCATTTAAGGCTTTAAATGTTATTAATAAAATTTTTTAAATTAAACTCTAACAGCAAGAGGAAGGTGGTTTAAACAGGCACAAAATAGGAGTCACATGTTGTTTTTTAAACATTTTGCTGAAGGCATGGTTAACTGTATTCAGAGAGACAATTTTAAATATGAGGCTAAACCCAGAATTTGAGTTGTTCATGTAAGAAAAAATTAAAGTCTGAATAACTCTCTGCATTAAGCTCAGAAATTGTCTAAAGAGGTCATTACCTAACCTCCTCAAAAATAAAAGAATTGTTCGACATCTTAAGAAATATTTGTTTTCTTGCAGAGAATTAGAGAAGATCAATATCACTTTCATGTCTGTATGGTGAATATGAAGCTGTATCCAGGAGATGCTTAGCTTAGCTTCGCATCAAGACCAATGTTACTCAGTAACATTACTAGTACAGTAACTAGTAGTGTATGGGATTACTATTTCCAAAACAGTAATAATATTACAGTTACTTATCCAAGTAACGCTGCATTACTGAACGCACCATCCTTGACGTGAATGCACGACTGTGGGGCAGTTCGGCGGCACAGATCATGTGTTGTTCAAATCAGCTGTTAGCCAAGAAGCTAAAGGAAGAATGGAGAACGAGGGAGAGAGGCGTTCTTTTGACAGCTGTAAGTATTGCAGTTACTGTGTCACAGCCTAAGAAGAACATTGTTGTCCGTTGTAAACTTTGTGCAACCAGCAAAAAGCTTTCAACTGCAAACAATTCTACATCTAATTTATTGCATCTGCTAAAGCCGCACAGGAACGTGAAACTTATAGAAAGAAACTCTAACTGCCACTGCCAGTGATTCATGCACTTAATGAGAGAAAGTGGCATTAAGCAACGTTTTAGGCTATGTTTTGTAAAAGCACTGAATACTGCTCTTAGAAATGCATGTGGATGAAACTGAGTAACTTGCCCAAGACTGGAAGCAGGAGTTAAGAGGAAAAATTACCTATCTTAGCTAGTTTAGCTAGCATAGCTTAGTAAAAGACGTTTGTTTGTTTAATGTGTTAATTAGTGTGCTTTAGAGGTGCTGGTAGGTGGATCTTGATGTTGAGCATTTTACCTGTAATGTCCTCCATACGATGTCTTTACTTCTTCCCAGGAGACCTATGTGTTGAAATGCAAATCAAAGACCAACTTAATCACAAATTTGCATAAAACTGAATTATAATAATACAAAAAAAGCTATATTTAGTGAGAAAAACTTAGACATTTCAGATACAAAATATCACAACGGAGACTTTTTACACTTTGAAGATATACAGTATTTATGCAAAACATCTGGAAGATGTTGAAACTGGAATCTACATAGTTTAGCTATGATGTCTAATAATGCATTGTGATTGATTATGAAGTGCTCAATTCTAAAAAATGTTTTTACAAAGTAAAAGTCAACCAGACAAAAATTAATTGCATTCATGTGAGAGAGAGTCAGATTGGAAGTACCTGTTTTACAGAGCTGTCATTTGCATAGTACCAGCGTTTGTTCACCCAGCGACGAACATAGGCAGTATAGTGTCCGAACATCGCAGTACCAGAATGTACTACCACTGCATGCAAAGTGTATTTGCAGTCATTCTGGAAGAACAAATTAAACTTGTGGAGGACAAAATATACAATCTTCAGATAATTTGTGAAATACATTAAAAAAAAAAGTACCTGGACAAAGTCTGGGGAGAATGCTCCTTTAAGAATCTCAAAGATGTCAAAGGTTTCTGGAAAGGTAACCCTGCAATCAAGTTTTCGAGTGTAACCATGGCTATTCCTAAACCTTTTCAGGTGCACGCACAAGATACGAGGCAGGGAGAGCAATTTGACACCCTGAGAAAGAAGAAGATGTTTAACTATGTAGATTCATACTTTCTGGGAAGCATTCAAAACCAAGCCTCACCTGTTTCGATGGAGTCTTTGTTCCACATTGTTCACAAAAGCAGCAATCTATGCCCCGTAGCTCTTGATGCTCAAAGAAGGAGGCCATGCAGCCTTCCTAAAAAAGGTTCATGTTAAGAATACTTGTAAGTTCGAATTCAGGACAGTTCAAAGTAAAGTTTGACTTTTTGATCAAGACCACTGTCACGTCTGTGTGATAAACGTTAAAGTGGCAGCCAGTTAGCTTAGCTTAGCATAAAGAATGGAGGGGGTGAGAAAAGCTAGCCTGGCTCTATCCAGAGTTAACAAAATCCACCACATCCAAAACATTTAAAGCTCAGTAATTAACACATTATATGTTGTTTTTTAATCTGTACAAAAGATGAAATGTAAATACATTAATTTGCTGTTTTAAGAGAGGGTTATATTCTGGACAATTCCTTAGTAACTGGCCATTAAAAAGTCCAACACATAACCTCCTGTAAAAGCTTAGCATAAGGACAGCTGGCCAGCACTGTCGACAGGTAAACAAACCCAGCAACTCTAAATTTTACAATTTAACATGTTATATCTAATTAGGATAATCCGTACAAAAACAAACATGTAAAAATGTGTGCAGTTATGTTTATGAGTACTTCTTGGCCGGTTTGAGGGTCTTATCATGCCTGTAAAACCACAAATTGCCACTTATTATTCATAACATTATTATAAACAACCAAGATATAACCTTTAATGAGTGAGCATTAGAGGTGCTGGAACGTGGATTTTGTTACCTTTGAACAAAGCCACGCTAGCCATTTCCCCCTCTTTACCACTCTTTATACTATGCTAAGCTAACTGGCTGCTAGCTGTAGCTTCAAATTTAGAAATAAGAGTGGTATCGATCTTCCCACTTAACTTTCAGCACAAAGCCAGTGACTGTATTTCCCAACATGTTCAACATAAACAATCCACATCTAAACAAACAATTAACGGCACCAGAGAATTGCGATCTTCCTTTATATGCAGAGGCAGGCTGAGCAGGTAGCTGGTATGAGTCTGGACAGAGGAACACTCTAAACACTGCAGGTACGTCTCCACACAAATCTTGTACAGATTATGGATTTCAAGAGCCTGGAAGAGAAACCAAATGCAAGCAAATATAGATGGTGTACTTACTGGTGAAAATAAAGATATTATAAAGATATAAATCTTAATGATTAAAGCCGAACCAGATTTTTGTCATCCATCTGTTGTTGGATCAAGTTCAGGATGGAGAGGAAAACCTCATCAGCATCATGCTGCACATAAACTGCAAAACAACATCCTCATTGTCAGAGCTTGTGAGATAAACCGTGAGATAAATCAGTATGAGACGTTTATTTTGTAAGTTGCTAGTCCCTACGTCGAAGGCAGTTTCTGTCCAGACAGTGGAGGAAGTCATGATGGGGAGCAGGCTGAGGGAGGTCGCTCTTCATGTCTGCGAGAACCTTCTTTAGCTGCAGGGGGACGTTACTACTGGCCGCTCTCACACCAGCTGCTTCCCACCTTATACAATTCATAAACCTTCATTAGCCTTCATTTTTTAGCACCTGAGAAAAGCAGCCTTGTTTCCAGGTTGACACCTGTGCCTTTCTGAGATCTTGAAGATCTCTGAAGTTGTCATTGAACTAAGGTATCTATGCTTAGGATTTCTGAGGTTCTTACACATCAAAAACATTATGTTTGACACTGCGAAGGCGCAATCACATATGGTACCATTTCATTATATTACTTTTACAGCATGCGCACATGTTAATGTTGGCTAACATAGCCTTGTCGCTCCCCTCTTTGCTTCACAAGGCTGCTATCATTTCATAAAATTTTTATCTATAGCAATTATTTACTTTCACTGACTATCTATAAAGGGAATATCTGGTAATACTTCTGCTACTTTATAACTAGGCCTGTTTGTAGTGTGGACACTATTGTGAATGAACTGATTTTAGTGAATTAATTGCATGGATTTCTTGTTGTTTTTTATTATTCAGTCTATAGATTATTGTGAAGCAGCAGTATAGAGTGGAGGATTTTGTTATGGTTCCTGTTTAAATATTTGTTGGTTTGTACAATAAATTAGTTTACTTAGTTACATCTGTTCTCTCTCATTGAGGTGCTCTACACAAAGGAAGAATTATTCTTACAGCCCCTTTTTAAAGATAGTTATAGTAATAATTTACGAGTTCACCCATGATACATTGTTTCATATATCATTTCTGATTAGTAATAAGTTCTTCCTGCTGCTTTAGTGTCCTGATGTGGCTGTCGTCTGGCCAATCAGAGAGCCACAGTGTTGATTTACTATATATTTAACTATATATGTGGTAATTGGACAACTCATCAGGATTCACGGGGGAGTAAAAATCTTAGAATAAGTCATAACTTCAGTCTTTAAATCTTAACGATAAACACTGTATTGTGGATCAAAGGGAAACTATTTAGAGTTAATCTTAATTCAGTGCCATGTATGGTGTGTTTCCTTGTCCGCTCTTTTGTGTTTATGTGCCTGACTTGCTGACCCACAGACACCCAGTGATTAAGGATTTAATGTTTTGTATGTCAGGATCATAATGAATATGCAATTTCATTGTCTTACTTGTCCAGGAGGTCTGCTAGCTCCCAGGTAGCAGAGAAGGTCTGCAGTAAAGTGTTCACACAGCAGGACAGACAGTAGTTGGTGAGGCCTCTCATTCCTGTGACAGATCATCAGAAACTGAAATAACCTTTTTTGTGATGAACCAAGCATGTTATTGATGGCTGGGTCTACCATCAGGTGCCCACCTAGGGGCCCAGAATGCCAATGGGCATTTGCGTGTTTGAAAATAAAATAAATATTTTACAGTAAAGTCCCAATGCTGACTGGCGTGTGTACAAATTTTAATATAGCTGTGCAGAACACCCACCTCCCTTGTATATTTTATTTAGTTTATGTTCCCCACGAACAGCAGATGAATAGCAGGTTTATTTAACACAGATGCAAGGTCAGTATTTTGTTTGTCAGTATGTCATTGCTGCACATATGAGGGATTTATTGGTGGTGAAGAGCAAAATAATTGTGTGAAATGCAGTTGCAGTAGGAAACTCGGATGAACGGGACCAAAAACCATAAATCATGTGTAACAAGCTGCGTTGTTACAGGTTGTGGTAGAGCCCACAAGTTCTGTGTTTTGAGTTTGTAGTTAAATTATATTATATTGAATTATATATTGAGGTGTTGGTGTTTCTAACAAGTTTTTTTGAACTTATTTACATAGTTTATAGAAGCAACAGTGGTAACACAGATTGCAGGGCTTTTGTATTAGTGTATTTTTCTTGTAAGATTTCAGTCTCATATACAGTGGTGGAAGGAGTGGTAATACCACGGTGTAAAAATACTTATTATTTATACTTAAATAGTTATATATTAAAGTCCTGCATTCAAAAAAGTAAAAGCACAAGAGTGGCCTATTAGCATCAATGTACTTAAAGTACCAAAAGTAAAAATATTCATTAGGCTATGCAGAATGTGTGTACTGTGTGTGTAGGCTATTATAGGATTATAAGTGATGCATTATGTGTCAGCATCGCTTTAATGTTGCAGCTGGTAAAGATCCTCTTATTTTAACTGATTACTCAGTATGTTACATCATTTATTAGTTGATTATAATAATTTCAATCTGCAAAGTAACTGACATAAATAAATGAAATAGTGGAGTAATATTTCACTCTCATGTAGTGTAGTAGAAGAATAAAGTAGCATAAAGTAACCTACAAGAACCTCAGTACAGTACACAGGTAAATGTTCTCAGAAACGCATTATTTAACAGCATAAATCATCATTTGACAGTCTGATTGCGGTCTACTTACCGAAGCGGAGATCCGTCACTAACGAGAAACGCCCGCTGAAGAACATCAGTAGCCTACAGACTTCACTAAAGAAACACATAAATTTCGTGTATTTTACAGAATTAAGTCTCTTCTCACAGTAAACATCACCGTCAGAGCGTCAGCTGTAGGTTCACTTCCGTTTCACAGGTTTCGGTTCGCCGCCTGGCGTCGCTTTGCTGGAATCGAAACTTAAAAGTTTGCATGCGTGGACAATAAATTATGGACGAACTAACCCATAATATTCACACAAATCAAACGTACAAGAAAGGTTATTTGATTCCGATTCATAAGCCTTTTGTGACATTTACTAAATTTCCTTTATCTCACATGGTGTCGCAATTTAAACGTGAAACAACACTACACGTTTAACTAAAGGCAGAGGTGGAGGATTCAGGGCCGGTATTTATCAAGCTTATCAAAGTGCCATTTTAGTCTTAAGTGCTGAGAATTTATGAAATTTACTCCTACTTTTAAATTTAAGAACAGCAAGTTATCAAATTTCTTAAAGCTATAGAATCCCTCTTACTCTCCTAGTTATTTAAGAGAGCTCCAGACGTCTCTCGAGTGGTTAGGAGTTGCCAGGGCTTGTGATGGCACTGTGGAGACATGCGGAGAGGAGAGGAAGAATTCTGACAACGCGCAGTTCATAAGACGGGGTCGGACAGCGCAGGCAAAATCTTTGTAAGCAAGTTGGTGAGGGAAGTCATCTCATCACTGACATTGCACAGTAGTGCGTTTTCAGTTAAAGAGGTAGTATTATGCTTTCTGGCCTTTTCCCTCTCCTTTATTGAGTTATGTATCTTTTTTGTGCATGTAACATGTTTGCAAAGTGAAAAAGCCCAAAGTCCAGCCCAAAGGGAGTTCCCATCTCCCACAGAAAGCTCTGCTCTGAACCACTTGAAAACAGCTCGTTTGTAGTCCAGCCCTTCACTTCCTTTACTTGTGACGTCACAATGAAAATGCGTCATAAAGCTTGCCAAGCAGCTAGTGGGTCAGGCACGCCCTCAAACCAAGCTAGTCTGAGCTGAGGCCCTTTGGCTCGACTCACCTTTGTTTGGTTTTCCATTGTAGAAATGTTGTACCTGCTTCCAGGTACTTTTCACCTCACCTCCCTCAAGGTCCCAAGCGAGCTGAGGGATACTAAAATATAACGTGAAAACACGACAGACTGCTGACTGGTTAGAGAGAATATTCACTATTCACTGCATAATCATTGCTGCACCAGACAGAGGCCAGCAACAGAAGGTTTTATATTTTACAGTTTTTGTATGGAATTTCATCACTAAATCCACTTCTGAGAAGTTTTGAGGTGAGAAATCCGCTGTGTAGATGTCGAATATTGACAGTTTTACAAGAAGTGATGGCGGAACAAAAATGTGCTTGAATATTGTCGGAGTTGAGGAGCTCCGCAAGTGGCTGCAGGGGGAGCCCGTGCCAACCCGCGGGAGGAGCGTGAGACCACTGCAGTAACAACAGCTGGAAGGTTTTCATACCGCTTATCTGTCTTTACATTCTGAGTAATGTTGAAACGTTTTAACGAGAAAGCTGTCTGGATCGCTGGTGTGTGTGTCGCATTGAACAGTACGTCGCTGTGACAACAAGCTACGTTCTATCTCTGGGTACTATCTGCAAAGGAAAACGGAGCAGGGCCGAGTAGAGTCGAGTCTATTGATTTGCGCTACGGTAGCATTTTTCGGCAAGGCAGCATAGATCGTCAGAACACCGGCAACAGTTCAATGTTTAGTCCTGATGGTAAGATGTGGAACAATGATGATGTGGACTGGTAGTAACCTACACCACCTGCTAGGTTACAGTCACAGTCTGAAGCGGCTTTGATTTGGATCACACTACCTTGTTTTTTACGACCCGCCCTTCTCTGCTTCTGATTGACTAGTAGTCCTTACCTGGGAACTGCGCATGTGCAACTCCCAACAAAGATTTTGTACAAGTAAGATGCATCACTCTGTAGCTCAAGAGCGGAGCGTACACCACATAGGGTGAAAAGAGGAGCTGCAGCGATGTGCAGTATGAGAAAAATACGGTGTTTTTTGAAAATTAAACCATGTAAACCTGTTCTGGTACAACCCCTAATTAAGATTTTGAACCTGAAAATGAGCATAATACCACCTCTTTAAATTGAAGGTAGTGATGACACATTTATTTGCAACAGGACAAACGCAGCAATGCAGATGATTGTGGCCGTCACAACCATCAATAAGCCGAATAGTCATGGAAACAATTTTAGCACTTAGGCTACAGCTCCACACATTGTCACGCATTTCTTCGACTTCCCAACAACACCCCCGTAATCCGACAGAAGCAAACACCATTCATGCAAATAGCCGGCAATACAGGAGTAGTAGGCATATGATGGCGCTCATATAAAGATAAACTTTATCTTTCATTTATTAATGTGTAGGCCTATATCATAATGTATTCTCTTGAAAATTCTTTATTGTTGAATGTGTGTTGAATATAAACTCCTTTTAGGAATTTCACCATTCAATATGAATTTATCTGAGAATATTCTTAAATAATGAAATCTATTCAGTGATTGGTCCTCAGTGACATCATCATCCAAAATCCTGTTTGCGGCACAGCAAAGTGTCGTAAATCAGCACTAAGACTGACACTTCACTCAAATTAGGACTATAATGCTTGATAACTAACTTTTAAGCACAGCTTTGAGCCAAGAATTTTTTTACTCTTAAGTCAGTTCTTAGCAGTGTTCTTATGAGATCAAGATCTTCATCTTGCTCCTTTTATCCTTTCCCACTCCTATACTACTATTATTTAAATTTTACTTGTAAAGCATTCTGACTGACATTATTTTATCTGTTTTACATTATCCTTAAAATCACATCTCTTTTGTTGGTCCTTAATTATTCCATCAATAAGTCTGTTATATGTTTTGTAACTATATTCTGTGTGACCAGGACACTCTTGTAAAAAAATATTTTAAAAGATTTCAATCTCAGTGGGGCACTTTCCTGATTAAATAAAGTTAGTATTATGAAGAAGAGAGAGTTGCTTCAGAATGAACAATCTGGATCTGCATCCTGAATGTGTTAGTGAGGTCTAGAGGTGAGTTTATGAGAAAAGCATTGTAAAGACTTAAAACTGGGTGATAAAATCAGTCTCTTAGTCTGTGGAGCATCTTGATGGGATCAAATGTCTGTTGATTCTAACTCAGAAAATAGCAAATATACTGTTGGAAATATCCTTGTTAGGTCATTAATATGACTGGTGTTTAAACATGCTTAATGAAACTTGAAAAAGGGACAAAACATATTGTGATTTTCAGTCTTTTACAGTTCTTTGCTCTGAGTGAGAGCCTGATAGTACGGTGCACACATGGCACTCCACATCTGTTTGAGCAGTTGAAGAAGTTTGGAAATCCACATGAATGAAGACGGAAGAGCTGCGTGAAAAAACAGGAAGAAAAGCACCGATTTATTCCGAATCAAATGTTTTATACTTCAACAAGCCTTGTGATGAAACTGAGCTACATAGAAAATTTAATCCAACCTGGATCCATTCGAAGAAAAAGCATGTAGAGAAGGACAGCAGCCATAAAGACTCTCCGGAGAGGGAACGAGCCGGATCTGGTCAACGAAAGTTTTCTGTAGAAAAACCTGAGCATGGTTCGAAGTTTATGGATTACAGCTCCTGTAGAACACAAACACAATCGGAGACACTGTCTGCATTAAATTGTTCTAATATGATTTAGTATAATGCATGTCATTAGGGCTGAATGGAAATGTAAGACCTTGACTTGAAACCGTATGTGGAGTGATCTCAGCGTTTGGACTGGGATTTAGAGGCGGCTCTTGATCCTGTCTCTCTTTTTCTTCCACAACATCCAGTGCCGTCTGCCTCTGGTCCTCTGTGAACGCAATGCTCCCAACCTCACCGTCAATCAGCTCCAGAGCCTCGTCTCTGTGTCCAAGAGGCACGAGGACATGCAGCAAGTACAGCTCTGCCACCGTCCCGAACCCTGTTGCTCTGCCATTGGACGGACAGTGTAACCAAACTCTGGCTGCCTCCTGCATCGCGGCTGGCTCTCCCACTTTTGAGTAAAGAAGTATGCTGGAAAAATTTGAGAGGACATATATTCAATATGTACTTTACAGCTGAAAAGATTAGTCGATAAATAGATTAGTTAATCGACAGAAAGGAAATCTGCTGCTACTACTTTGATAATCTGTTAATCATTTCAGTCTTTTATTAAGCAAAAATGGCAAATATTGACTGATTTCCGCTTCGCAAATGTGATGATTTGCTGCTTTTCTTGTTATATTATGATAATACATTAAATATCTTTGCAATTTGGACTATGAAGATGCCACTTTGGGAAAGTATAATGGTAATTTTTAACTATTTTACAACAAAATGATTATATTCATAAATATATGAAACACCAGAAGATTGTTACCCATCACAATTTCCCAGAGGCCAAGGTAGTGTCTTCAAATAGCTTGTTTTGTCTTGAGAGTTTTATAAAATCTGAAAAAAAATATTTCAGCCAAAGCTCACATTTACGAAGTTGGAACCAGAGAATTGGGTGAAGAAAAGAGAGTTAGACCATTTCACTTGATTATCTAAATTGTTGCCAATTCATTTTCTGTTAAATAAAGAAATCGACTAAATGCAGGTCTACTTACCACATCTGCATTATTTTAGACGGTATTTCCTCCAGGTGCTCATACTGTTGAAGCACCCAGGAGAGGACACCATGCCACTGATTTAACTCAGCCTGTGCTTGAATCCCTAAGATACAGAAACCGGCCTTAAATTCTCGACATCTGAGGAGACAAGACACAGAAACACAGTGACATGACACATTCAGGCTGCAGGGAGCATTCAAGTGATGCAAGGTGCATTCACACTACTTTCACCTGTTGTCCTCTTGGTCCATGCTGGCGAGAATCTCCAGGCCTCTTTCGCACGTTTCAAAGGCTGCCTGGAAATCTTTATCGACCATCATTTGCTCGGCGGCAGCGTCCAACATGCTGGACGTCTGTGCTAAAGAAGTAGTGAGCGGAGGGCTGCAGACTGAGCAGGTGGAACAGCTGCTCATCACTTTCTGTCAAATTTTTGAGACAAATACAATAAAACTTTACAACGCAAAGAGACCCTGCTTTACTTTTAGAAGCTTAGCGTACAACCGAATGCCAAATAAAACATGTTTAGAGTACTGATTTATACACTATCCTGTCCGCAACATCTTGTTTACCATCAATTTCCTCTCGAACTTCCTGGTTTGAGATCGCTAGCCAACCACACGTTACGGTCTTGGCAGCCAATCATGTTGCTGCTTCTTCGATACGCGTCATCATTTTTTCCAACCTGTATACACGTGCACGGACTGGAGCGCAGTGTGCGTCCCTGCCTGTCTACGGAGAAAACAGCTAAACTAGTTTTCTGTAAGTCACAGCTTACTGTTCATATGTGGAATAATGCTAACTCTCTGTAATCATTTAGCATGCGGGGTTAGCTGTGTTTGAATTGTGTGCTTTGATCCAAAGTAGCAACTGGTTAGCTAACAAGCTAGCAAGCTGTTTACTTTTAGCTTGCTAAGGTATGAACTAGCCATAAAGCTAATTGTTGTAATGGCTGTAGCGTGCTAATATTTAGTCCTGTAATGTAACTACCAACGGTAACAGTATATGTTATAACTAACATATAATAACAATAAGTTATACAACGTGTCGTCTGAGTAAATGCTCCTTTTGTTTTAATGTTTTGTATTTTTTATTTATTTTATTTCTCCAGTTCTGTTCTGTCTATTGTATTGTATATATCATTTTGTTGTGTTGTGGTGTTATTGTTAAGTAATGTTCATTGCCCTGTCCATCGTGCTCAAGAAACAAAAAAACTGTATCAAACTTGGACTGCTGTGAGCCTGACTAAATAGACATTTACAGGAATGTTGAATAATATGTGTTATTGTAAATAAGAAGATTAAATGAAATGTAGACTGTTTCTGTGGGTATTTCTCGTCCTTTAGCAGTACAGTACTTGGTGTCATCATTAAAAACAAAGGGCAGGATGTGGAAAATAGTTTAAATTAAGCTGTCTTGAAGATAAATCATACTGGTTAAGTGTTTGGCCTCCAGTGAATAAGTGCTCTTTGTTTTGGCATCTAATCTATCCTAGTGGAATTTATTTTGTGAAGTGTGGGGTCCTAAAGAACTGCTTATTGTCTAGAGAAATTATTGGATTTGAATTTGAGAGCCAGTTAGTTTGACTGGTGTGTTTTCTTTTCTTTTCTTTTCAGATCACCTTCAAAATGGCAAAAAGTCTCCGGAGTAAATGGAAGCGGAAGATGCGTGCAGAGAAGAGAAAGAAAAATGCTCCCAAGGAGCTGGCCCGTCTGAAACAAGCCCTGAGTCTGGATAAAAAAGGAGAAGCTGTCATGGCTGATGTGCAGGAGATTGCCACTGTGGTGACAGCTGACAAGATCAAGAAGCAGACAGATGTGGAAATGGTGGAGGGAGACGGTGACGGTAAGTGAGAGATTGAGCACAACATGGCCCTCAGGGCATGAACAGCTTTTTATTACAAGTTCTATTTTAATTTAAAACTGGTTTCTCTAGATTTGTATTTTAGGCACAGAATGCCAGATTGGGCAGATTTTAGTATTATTGTGGGTTGCTTGAGAAGCTCCCAATTATGTACCTCATTCACACAGCATGTCATCAGGACTGTGTTACTTCCATCTGACAATAAGTGGCAACATGAAAATGACTAAATATTACACTTCTTTATGTTACACACACAAAAAGTTTCTTATTTATCAATCTGTGTCTTTTGTGTTACAGATGGGAAGATGGACATGGACAGCAAGCGCAGCAAGAAAACTCAGTTGGATGAGAATGGTCAGTACCCTGCATGGATGAATCAGCGGCAGGCCAAGAAACTGAAAGGCAAACGGATGGCAAAGAAAAGTGGCCAGGGAAAGAAGAAGAAGGGTATCTCCTGGTGAACCAGAGGAAACACTTTTGCTTTGCCTTGAAGACTTTTGACTGCTTTTTCAGAAACACAGGATCATTTCATGTATTCCTGTTTATACATGATGCCATGATGGAATATCTGCTATTGAATGTCATTCTGTTCAGTGGATTACAAGATTCATGGTTGTGGCCCCTGGAGCTTGTTGATGTAAAGTAATTCACTGGAAGAAAATGTTGTTCAGCAGCTTCATTTTCATGTGGGGACAAAGTTTAGAGATGTTTTAAGAAAGTAAGACTGTATTTCCATACACAGGAAAAATAATAATTTACAGATATGGCTTGTTTTTTCCTATATTTTTTTGTCTTATGCCACTTAAGACTGGGTCAAAATCAATATTATTGGGGCATCCTTGTGGCTTAGGGGTTGAAATTCTGACCATGGCCTGCAATGTCTCAAGTTTGATACAGACTTGGGACATTTGTTGCATGTCATTCCCCATTTTTCTCCCCTCGTGTCGTGTTCTCTCTCTACGATATCGCTGCATATACCATGATATAGAAGATGCATGCAAAATCAAAAATGAATCAACTGTAAATAAAACTCTTCACTAAAACAATAACTTTAACCACACTTTGCTTCAAATAACTCATTTGGAGAGCAGAATTCTGTCGAATGAGAACAGACATGATCCCAATATGATACAATTCCAGTGAAAGATGATCAGTGATACAACGAACAATAGACGTAATGTTACTGTAAGTAGTGATGAGATATAAACTAATAACACAGAGAAGCTTGCCTGTAGAATATTTTATTGACTTCAATCAGTTAATTGCCAATATAAGATTCAACTCATCAGTAATATGGGTTTGGTCGTCTTACAGATACTCATTACCAATAATAGTACACAGCAAAAGTATAGAAATCAGCTGATCAGAAGCCATTTTGGCACAAATTTATTCCATAAATACAAAATTTCTTCTGTTGAACAACCTGAGATTGTGCAAAAGTGAAGCTCGTGCAAAAACTTCCTGAGCGTGTCGCTCACTGCATCAGCTGAACGTAACTGGCCGGGAATAGGCCGATGCGTCCGTTACACTGTCCCTTCCACCAGCCCTCGTCAATCATCTCTATGTTGGTGATGATGTCATCCGGGTTGAAGGAGATCTCATCATCAGCCTCTGTGTGAAGAAGGAAACGAAATGATTTGTCCTCACCCATATTGAGTGATGATTATTAAATGTTGGAAAATGAAGATTTAACAAAGTGTCACACCTCCTTCATAGTCATAAATTGCTACTGCCTGCTGGCCGCATGTAAGGTCTTCATAGTCATTGTCCACAGCTGTAAAAGAAAACATAAATCAGTACTTCACCTATGAAAGGTTTGGCATTCATCTGATGGCAGACACAGACCTGTCAGCGGTGGAGGAGGCGGTTCAGCAAGATCTTCGTACTGTCCTTCATCCTCAACCTCCTCCTCAAGCGCTGACCGTTCAGGTAGCGGGGGAGCATCTGGGTCGAGGAAATCGTCTAAGCGTGGAGGCAAGGCTGGGGGCTTTTCGTATTCCTCCTGGAAACATGACAGAATATCTTTGATTTTATGATCTCAAATCATGAAGATGACCTGAGATTTCAGATATCAGACCTAGCCCCAGTTTGTGCCTCTCATATATTGCATTACATTCAAGTTGCACAGATAAGTGACAGTTTTCCAGTATCCTCAAAGACTCTTCTGACCATCTGAATCAAATACTGAATATGAAATATTCCGTCTGCTGCGTGATAAAAGCGATTTTTAACCTGTGTCCCTAGTTACATCTTTTTATCTATCGTCCAAACAAAAAAGCTAGCAGGAAACTGAGTTATGTCCTTGCTCCGTTTTGCAAACAAAATTAAATGTTATCAGGTTTCTTAGTATACGCTATAGTTTCTTTCCAATATTTTGTATTCTCATACAGAATAACACGCTCATATTTTGATGTTTTGCCTGTGTAGTACAAACAGAGCGCGGACATACATAATTTTGAGTTCACATTTACCCTGTGACCCTGTACGCAGGATAAGCGGTTGACGACGGATGGATGGATGGATGGATGGATTTACCATCACGCTGCCAGAAATACTCACTGGAGCCTCAAATGAGTATTAATCCACAGCTGAAAATAGTCCCTAACAGATGCAGTATTTACTTTTTTTTACATTTGCTAAATATGACAGTGCCCAGTTGTTTAAGGACCCTTTTTAACAAATTAAACAATATTTTTGAGACCCAATTTATGGTTGAGAAAACTATTAAACTATTAAAATGTTGCTGAGCGACTTAATAAACACACTTAGAGAAAAAAAATTAAAACTATTAAAACCTACTCAATATGTGAAATCATAAATGTGAAAGAATGAATGATATACAGGGAATTTGAGATGGTACAATAACAAATATAGAATATTTCCAACTTTCTCCTTTCAACAGATGCAATATTCTATGATTTGGTACATTTGATATTTGTATGAATGAGTGTCAGTACCTGTGGCTCTGGCTCTGGCTCTGGCTCTGGTTCTGGTTCTGCCTCAGGTATTTCTTCTATCTCTGGCATGTGCTGGTGGATTTCCAGTGGAGGCACGTCGTACTCCGGATCCACATCTGGAACAGGTGGTGGAGGACTTTCCTCCTCTCTCCTGCTCTGCTCCTAACCAAAACACAAAATCATTACCATGCATATTGACCATAACTTAATTTATACATCCTTACATGTTTACAGTGCAGTGTATGTGTTACCTCCTGTCTGCGTTTGGCTGCCTCTCGCTCTCTGCTCTCTCTGGCTTGTCTCCTCGCTCTCTCTTCTTCTGCTTTCTTCCTGCTGTCTTCGTCTGAAGCCTTGGCCATGTTCTCAAAACGTGCTTTCAGTTTTCCTGCGCCTGCAGTTGCTGCATAATTTAAAAAAAACAAAATTATGAATACAGTGCATTAGCCATGACCTGTTCCCTGTTCTTAATAATTTGAACATGGGGAACTCCTTAGCACTGGTGGCTTTAATTGTTCACCAGAAAGATGGCATAGTAGGGTTGATTATGTTGACTGAACTTACAGGCCTCTACTGGTTGTGTCTTTTGATAAGCAGAGGTAGGGGAGTCCACGTCTGAGAAGCCAGCTGCACTCTAAAAGAGATCAACCGAAAAGAAGATTATCATTATCATTCACCCTTTTTTATTTTTCAATACTGACTTGTGCAGGAATGATTTGTTAAAATGAACAATTTTGATAATAACACTATTGTTGGTTCTAGCTTCTCAAATGTAAAGATTGGTATAGATCTATATGGCAATAATTATATTATATAATAATAAGAGAATAATGGTCCAAGTGTGGGCTCTGGTTACCAAAGCGGGAACCTGTATGCTTTATTTCAGCCAATTATAATACCACAGTTAGCCCTAAGTTGGTCCTATATTGGGCAAAACAAAGGTTCAGCACTACTACCAGATGTAAGCCACACTCTACTTGGACTCAACAATAAGTTATAGCTTGAGTTTAATGCTCAAAAGTTACAGGTTACTTAAAGAGGCTGGAATCGGCATTACAAATAAAAATCAAAACTGAAGCCAATAATATCTAACTTAGCTTCGGAAATAATCATCAACATTCACACCAAAAGGCTTATTTGATTTGATATAAAACACATTAAAATTAAAATTCAGCAATGAGAAATTTTGATGGGGATTTTGAACCATTTCATTACATTTTACAGAATAAACTCAAAATTAAATAATCAATTAAGCAGATAAATAACCTGCAGACTAATAAAAAAATAATGAATAGTTGTAGCTGTATTACTAACCTTATCCATGCGGTCTGCCTGTACTCCATAACGACCTCCAAAACCTGCTGAATAATCTAAACAGAGATAAATCTGATCAGTCTGATGTACTTCTACTTCCTTCTACCTCTGAAATATACACGTGAGTGTTTCCTTACCTTTTTGTGACTGATGTTTCTCCGTCTCACCCTTGTAATCATAGCCCAAGGCAGCTTTGTCCACTTTCTCCTTCTCGACACCAAACTTCCCTCCGAATCCCTTTGAGTAATCTGAATGTGAAATGAATAAGAGCGGAGGATAAAGAAATCCGACGCCAGGCTCAAAAGGTGTCAAAGCTAACAAATGCGGCAACTCGAACTCACCTTTCTGTGACTGGTGCTTCTCTGTTTCTCCTTTATAGTCATACCCCAATGCAGCTTTGTCCACCTTCTCTTTCTCCACCCCGTACTTTCCTCCAAATCCCTTAGCGTAGTCTGGTGAAAATAAGATGCAAATTAATGCAAATGTAAAACCCCCAGTGTCCAAACTGACAATTGCTGCAACTTAAACTCACCTTTTTGTGACTGGTGCTTCTCTGTCTGGCCTTTATAGTCGTACCCCAAAGCAGCCTTGTCCACTTTTTCCTTCTCCACCCCGTACTTTCCTCCAAATCCCTTTGAGTAATCTAAAAACATATGGATTGTATGGACAATTGTGGATGAGACCTTTCTGTGAGGTATCACCTTCTGAAACAAAAAAAAGGTACTGTAAGAGAGATGGCTTCTTTGAAGGTAGACAGATGACTTACCTCTCTGAGATGCATGTTGCTGCACCTCTCCTTTGTATTCAAAGCCCATGGCTGACTGCATAGAAAACACAGAGGTTCATATAATGCTTTAAAAATCCATCCCAAAAGTGTTCAATAAATTTAAAAGTACTCTGCTTTGAATATTTATGTGTCTAGTTCTACTCTAGTTTTCTCTTATTTATCTCAAAATCTCCAAATTTCAAGTTGCATACTGGACCACGACTAGCTCCCGAACTAGCTCTGATCATGCTTGTAGTTACACATCTTAAACTCAGATTTAAGAAACATTCCCCTTTCAGCAGATGTGTGAAGTGAAAACTGTCTTCTAGTGTTAAACTCTGCACAGACATCATCCAGTGAAAGGGAAACATCCAAACTGAAGCAATAACAATCAGAACAAATATTTGAGAGGAGGGGGGACTCTCTTCTTCTCACCTTGTCGACGCGGTCTTTCTGAACACCAAATTTCCCCCCAAACCCTTGCGCCGCATCTTTCTGGGAAGAGTGCTGCTCGACTTGTGCCACGTAGTCGTTCCCCAAAGCCACCTGGACGGCGCATATACATGAATGAACAGAGTCAGCATACAGTTTATTTAAGCAGTGGATGCAGAGTAAATGACGACATAGGTTTAATCTGGCAACCTTGTCCATTCGGTCTTTCTCCACCCCAAACTTCCCTCCGTATCCGTATGACGCTTTGGGAGTCTGATCCTTCTGCTTCACCTGCTCGTGCTCCGCAGTCACCTTGTTCCTGAGCTCTGCAACACTGGCAGGTCATACAGGGGTCAAACACACTGGGTTCCACACCAGTACACGCAATTAAGAGTAATATTTGCAATTACAAACTATTTATCAGTAACACCTAACAGTCTCATACTAGGCAAATGCAGGTATGCAGCACAATTCATACACAAGGCACTTTCTAAGTGCTTTACAGACATTTAATCTATAAAAGCAACTGGAAACAAATGCAATAAAAAATTATATAAAAGAGAAGTCAAACAAATGTGGAGGCAATTCTGATATAAAAATTTAAATAAAGACACAGAAAAAAAATAAAAGTGATAAACACAACATTAAAAGGCAGAAGAAATCTTTTTTTTTTTCATTTTACTGATCATTTAATAATTCTAAAATCTAATTATTCTCAATTTATATGATAAATTACTCTGTGACTGACTAACTATTCAAATTGTCAATACGTATTTAGGGGAATAACTTAATAGTCATTATTTGTAAAGATTTTTACATTGCTTGTCATAACATAGTAACAGCACTTAAATTAAAATGTTGGGCCATTCTCTTGTAATTTGCAATATTTTCTATTTCTCTTTCATTGTGTATATATAGATATAGTATATATATTTAATTTAAGATATCATATACTGAGCATCAACAAGCAGCTTACAACAATACAACTTAATTACATTATGTTACCAGTATTATTATTACAATAGAAGTAGTAGTATAAAAAGGAATAACATATCAAACACTACTGTACTTTATATTGCATTATAATATGTATATAACATTGCTATTATGTAATATATTATTATGTATATTGTTTGTATTATTATATTATATATAATAAACATTATACATTATAAACATATTTATTAGTCATACATATATATACCTGTATGCCTATAGTTTATATTGTTGCCCTAAACATTTCCATAATTCACTTTTAAGGTTTTATAATGTATACCAGTGGTTCTCAAAGTGGGGTCCGAGGACCCCCAGGGGGTTCCAGGAGGTCCCCAGAAAAAAGGGGAATCATTTATTTTCACTATAATTCCATCCATTAGTAACACAATGAGAGAATGTATGACTATTTTGGTCATGAGTTTCATATATTTTCTGTAATAAAACATCTAAAACCCCATATCCTTTCAGATGGTCGATCCAGGGACAAAATCTTATCTAATTGGGGTCTGTGATCTAATTTCCTTGACGTGAAAAAGTGTGAGAACCACTTATGTAATCTCCCCAGTTTCATTGTCATATTTCTAATTTCTTTATATTTAGTGTCTTGTTTTGTCTCTATTGTTGATAACAGGCCAAAATAAAATTTAAATCTATTTCAGTGTTTGTTTGCTTTTTTTATTTATTTCATTTAAAGAGTTCTTTATCTGTTTTCTTACCTCTTATCCACCATCTGTGCTGCTGGAACATGTGACTAAACTCACTAAATTCTTTTCTTAATAATCGGACTATTTTAAAAATACATTAGCCACAGTATATTTGTTCTTATATTTTTATGGAACAGTGGAGCTTGGCTAGAGTTAAAGAATAACAAAATAAGTATTCATATCAGTTAAACTCGGTTAAATTTTATGCTTTATTGATATACCATTAATAAGAGCGACTTTGTGGTTACCAAGTTGTGTGAAAAACCTCTGCTGGTGTTTATCCTTTCTGTTTGGTAATAAGAAGTTGTAAATGTTGGAAACCTATTAATAGATGTCTGCTGATTTTTTTGTGTGGCATTTCTGCTTTATTGACAGTGACAGTGAAGAGAGGCAGGAAAGAGAGAGGAGATGAAATGCAGCAAAAAATGAATAAGTTGTTAGGTTTATAAATAGATTTTGGTACAGATACTCTGCAGGTTTGGTGGTAAGTGGTCCAAAGTTTCTACCTGAATAACACCTGCTGAAGGAATTTTGTAAAGCATGACTTGTTAGAAAGTGGTACTTAAATCTGTGAGCAATCTTTAGTCCTAATCTTACATTCGGCACTACTGCATGAATTTGTAATCAGCATGTGAGAAAGCACATGAGTTTAAATCTCACTGTCAAAGTGTCAACATATATTACCCATATTAGGAAAGACTTTCTACTGACTTGTGCTCTGCTCTAACTTCCTCTTCCTGTTGCTATACGCAGCACCGTCTTAGGCCTGCATTTGTCTACATCTTCTAAAGAATCGTCTATTTATAGACACCAGGTTGTGCATCTCTCACCTGATGTGCTCCTTACGCCCTGAGCCCTCAATGGTCTTTGCTCCCCACCTCTGCTCCTGCTCTGAGACGTCATTCTGAAACACAAAGTAAGAAAGGGTTGAATAAGGAGTGTTTGTACCACCACATACATCTTACCCCACAGTAACACACCCTCCAGGAAGTATACGGTACCTCAAAGTCAGGGTCTGTCTCCCAGTCATCCCCCTCTGCAGCCACTTTCATGCTCACATTGTGGCCCACGACTGACTTCCACATCTAAAGGAAGTAAAGCACTATGAGCCACACTAACGATAGCATACAAGTCTGATTAATGACCTATTCATGTGCTCACAAATGGACATTTTCAAAACTCTTATGATATATATCTCTACATTCACAGTCTGGAACTTATTCGCGTTCTTATGACTAAATAAGCTCATGTAGAACCACAAGCTCTGACCACCATTTGCTGAAGTCCCAAAAAGGAAGTTAAGTTATTTTCAACATGAAGCTTCATTTCCCCATAATGAAACACACTTCAGGACTTCATGCAGTAAAGAGACACTAAAATACTTCAGTAACTGTATGATAACAATAATTATATAACAAATTGTGAAGTAATTACTTACTGGAGACCTTAAAATCATCTGTAACATTATTTATTTCCTGAGGGTGGAATAAAATATAGTCTCTAATGATGCTAGATTACTGATTGTCACTATTTAAGTTTTACTATAATTTTATCATATCTGTCATAGATAGTTTTAGGCAAGTAATTGTAGTAATCATTGCGCAGGGACATATTGACCTTACCCATCTTAATCTATCTACTTTAGCACTTTTTAAGTCATCCATGACTGTTCCGTTTATAAACGTCAGTCTTGCTAAAGCAATTGCTCATTTAAAGAAAATATATGCTAATACAGTAGGTTACAATAGTTTAGACTACGTCTGACTAGATCTACTTCCTTAATGAAGCTGAAAGAGGGAATAAAATAAAAACACATACATTTAAGCATGTTAGTGAGTTACACTAAGGAAAAAAACAATACCTTGCAGCAGTCAGCGCAATATGTCCGCGTTTAAGGAGGATATCACTGCAACAAAGTGCTCTTGAAGGTCTTCACAGAAGTTGTTACCAGGTAGTAACAGTTTGATGGGCGACGCGTGAACGCGGATCTAGTTAACGTGAAAGCGCGTTGATGTAAATAATAAAACAAACGTCGTCTCTATGTATAATTAGTTCACTTATAAATGACAAACACGTAAACGGCGTTGATGTTGCAGTAGTATAAAAATTATTTTATATGTTTTTTTAATTTTTGTAAAGAAATTTAAAAATAAAGAAATGCTGCATTCAAGTGCCCACGGAAATACGAAGATGAATGACCGTACAAAGCAGTCATAAGAGCAAACTGAAAGTTTTAGCATTCAGGAGCTAGGCTACTTTAATTAGCTGCTCGACTTGACAATTATGGGCTATCACTTGTAGTTACAGTTACTTATTTAAAAAAAGAACTTTGACGCTACAGCTGTGATTTAGCCAGTTGTAGTGCAGTTACAACACTTGGGGGCAGACTCACACAGCTTAAAAACAATGGCCTACAGTGGTTTGTGTTAGAATTTGCTTCGCTTGTCAAGGTTCATATCTGTCAAATCATTTTGGACAAATAAGCAACTAAAAATATTAACGAAACCTTGTTCTATCAAATTAGGTACATTTTTTAAATGAAGTAGCCTAAAATTTCACATCCTGCATTAAAAAAAAGATACTGTTTCTCATGACAAACTAATTCCATTTAATTTACTCATTAAACCTACATCTTAAGTTAACTTCCATGTTCAGTAATTCACTGAATGACATCAGTGCAGACGGACACAACTTCAATGTTTAGTCTTTATTCTGTGCTATAAGCTATACATAAGTCTCTGTGTGAATACTTAATAAGATATACGGTCTAAGTTGAATCTAGACCAAGCAAGACAGCTTCCAGACATACATCACTTCCACATGAAAATAAAATCCTTTTATTCAAAGCATTGAATGTGGTAGCAATGTACTGTAAGTGTGTCAGCAAAAACACTGTGTTTATATCCCATGTAGAGAAGGATTCTAGTTTTTTTAGGACCAGCGTTTAATTGTGTGCATTTCAAAATGTCACAGTATATCATGACTTCACTCATTAACTTTCACAAGTTCTGATGACCAAGAGCTCTCAACATAACAAGCATGACGGATTACACGACCAGGTCTTTCCATTAGTACATTTTTACTGAAACGGCAAAATCATTGATTAACGAAAACCCATTTATTGGTAATTACTTCACAAATAAAAGGGGAATTTTTTTTTTCATTTGTTGAAATCAAAATAAACTGAGCCCAAATAAAAGGTTAACAAAAGTGTAATGTAATAATTAATGCTTGACAACATCGGTCCCTGATCTAAACCACCAACACTTTTATTACACATTATTTTTCTATACAGCCCTTTTTAACAATTATTTACAGTAAAGTATATTTCAGTGTGAAAGATGTGAGCAAGAATATGAATATGATAAGGAGATGAGTACAGAGCCACCATTTCACCAAATGTAAGCAATTAAAACAATCAGGGAAGAGGGTCATGTCAATAGACACGTAGGTAGTGGACAAATGTTTCAACTGTTGGAAAATAAATTATGCTACATCAGAGTAGTATATAATTGGATGGAAATCGTTAAAAAACAAAGCAGTCTTTCTCCTCTGGAATGAATCCACACTGTGGTAAAACATTGCACCTGAATGGCAATATCATTTGACATTTAACAGTGCAACAGAAGCATGGACAGGGAATCTCATTGGAATATGTAAGAGGGAAAACCCACATCCAGCTGATATGTATACAAATATCAATATACTGCTCCCTTTTTTAAAGTGTTATTTATATAAGAGGGAAATAAAAAGGAAAGGAAAACACCCATTAGGAATGTGTAACAATAGAAATTGCACTGTGCTCCGTTTTTGTGCATGAAATGAGTAGAAGAGGAAGACTGGACTATAACAGCATGCCCTGAACCTCAAGCCATCCTAGAAGAATGGTTCATCATTTTGGAAAATACACTTACTCACTTTGTGTGCGAGGGTTAGATTAAATAATTGATACCACACTCATATTTGTCTGTTAAACACAAGGCTACAGCTAGTAACCTTTTAGCTTAGCACAAAGGCTGGAAATGAGCCAGTTAGCTTAACTGTAACACAGAAGACTAAAAACAGAGAAACTACACTTGCAACACTATCCACCTCACTTACAAGTACAGCAAAAGCTCATGAAATAACACGATTCATTTTTGTTAGAACCGAACCGGACTATTTTTGGCCACCACAAGTAACTTCCTAGAGTTTCGTGCTCAGCCAATATAAAGTCCAGTCGCAGAATACTGTGCAACACCGCCGGCACATACCCCATATGATGGCTATTTTACTTGGTTTTCTGTGCAAATTAAAACAAAAGAAATATAAGTTGTTGAGTAGTGAGCTTTATAAAGGGCTTTTCGGTGGATTTTGTTACCGTTTCCAGCCTTGATGCTGATAACCATCTGCTGGCTGTGGTGTTATATTTAACGGACAGACATGAGTGATAATCTCGTCTAAACTAGTGTACTTTTAATGTAAGGTGACCCTTTAATACCCAAATCTAAAGGCAAGTGAAGAACGCCATCTACCAAAGTACTTGATTATGAATCAAAAGTACATGAATATGAATCTAATTATAGAATAATTACACCATGTCCCTTTATGACCTCTCTGCTTGGGTTTTGATAAACTCAACAATGTCATGCCAGAGCAACATAGTGAAAATCATTAACAACTTCCTGTTTAAATCTACATACTTTGGCAAAAAGATTAAGTCCTGTAAAGTGCAATGTGTGTGCGTAGAACATCCTTCACACCCATCTACAATTTATTACATGTGACAATATAAAACATATTGATGGCTTGGGTTGGGTCTGTGTCAAATATCCATTTTCTTTGCCCTCTTCTCTCCATCTCTTTCTCTTATCTGTCAGGTTTTGTCAAAGGGAGCTGGTTTCAGAGATATCCGCCCAGACACATCAGCAGCAGGACGTGCACAGTGAGCAGATAGAGGCTGAACAGCAGAGGGGTACGCTGCCGGGAGCAGAAGGCCACTCGGAGCATCCGCACCAAACCCGGGCCACCTCTTCGAGTCTGCAAGACAAGGGAGACAAGGTTACGGAAAACATTCAGCTCATATGTCTTTATTATTACAGTTATTAAGATGACAAATGAGCTGGTAGAGGACATTAGTGGAGCCCTACTCGAGTGACAGCTCCTTCCGGCGGCTCGATGAAAACAGCAGTCTCTGAGTGATCCTCTTCTTGTGCAGAGTGCCATTTAGACTGGCTGTGACTAATAACATTAATAAAAACAGATGTTAGCTGTCACAGAGCTAAAAAAAAAAAAGGCCTAGATGATTTATTCAGATGCAGAAAAACATTTAGCCAAGGATAATCTAATAATCAGTACCTTTTATACTCTATAACCTTAAATTATGGAACATCAACAACATGAAACATAAACGCACTGGGGCTCATCATATATTCATATATATATATATATATATAAAATCACCTTTAAAATGGATACTTGTTAGCAAACAGTGGATTATTTAATGCACACATCCACCTACACTATGTTCAGAAGCTAGTCGCTAACTTTGAGTGTCTGTAGCATACAGTGGGTTCATCAAAACGTTTTTACTAAAGCTAGATGCTTGGAAATGGCTTTTATGAGAGTAAAAATGTGGCAGACACAACAATGAGCTGAAAGATGCTTAAAAGGTCATGTGATAACTCTTTGGGGTTTCATCTCTACAAGCCACCATTTTCATTGGATTATTAATCTATTGTTAATATAAAAATAGTGCTTTATATTATCATACCGTTTAAGTCGATCCTGTGTGGCCATTAGCTGCTCCTCAGCAGCAACCCTCTGCTGCATCTCTTCATCCAGCCTGATGTAAAAGAGTTCAAAATCAATTAAATCTGTATATTTTATCATACCACTTTTTAAAACACACTTTTTTTTCCTGGTAAGATTTAACCCATACTATACCTTCTCTGAAGCTCTTTGACCTCAGTTGTGTAGGTGTGACTGTCTTGCAGGCTGCTCCGCTCCTGTGGGGCCCCTGGAGCACTGTCTACCTCCTCTGTGCTCTGTGAGAAGATAATGTTGGAGATTAAAAAACAAAAAACAAAAAACAAAAAACAAAAAAACAGCTCAGGACTGGGCCAGATGAATAGTCTTAACTTCTTCACCAACACTTTACCATTTGCAAAAATAGAAAGCAATTTAAGTTCAAAAGATGATCAGAGTTCAGTTCAATAGTTTATTCCTTTACAGGACATAAACACAAGCTGACATCCGGGTGTGAACGGACTTTCAACCTTTTCGCACTCATTATAAAGCTCTGTGTCTAAATATGACCTTTACTTTTGCCCAATTAAATTGGTTTAGGAGAGCAGACACCTGGCATGTCACGCAAATCCACAGGGTCAGGTGTCCCAAACATTCTATTCTATTTCTATTATGCCTATTGCAAGACAATACAGACTCTGAACAGCTTTGGATCAAAGTAAAGTATTTCTAACACTACTTAAGGTTCAATTTTCATTTCATATGTGGTATGAGATGTGGAACTAAAAGAAAGAGAATGACACCAAGATTAAAAGCATAAGTGGTATATGCTTTGTTTTTTGTGAAATCCTGGATAGTTTTTAATGCTTCAGGCCTTTAAAAATTCTTTGAATGAAACAATCTGAGGATAAAAAAATCCCTCTTTGTTTACAACTCACATCCCTAACCTGTGATGAGGGCTCAGGAGTAGACTTGGACTCATATTAAGGGGTAACAAGCCAAAAAGGTTGGAAACCACTCAAAAGGTGGGATATTAGCACTGCCAATATCCACATAATACATTCTTCAGTCAGGAGCACAAGCAAAGGTTTAGACCCCTACCTCTCTTTGATAGTGTTCCTGCTGAAGTTTGGGCTTATGAGCGCGGGATTCCTCCAGTTTAGCGGTGAGGTGCCGCAGTTGTTGCTCCCTCTCTGAGAGTGTGGCGAGGGTCTGCTGCTTCAGCTGCTCTGCTTGAGCCATCCAGTCAATACGATCCAGTCTAAGAAACATTAGACACATAAATTTGCATTAAATAAGAGGCTTTTTGTGCCATTTTTCTTTGTTAAAACTGTGACTATGATGACAAAACGCTAGCTCTGTGCAGACCCGGAATGGCCATTGTGAGAACCCGGAAATTCCTGTTGACCTGCAAGCTGATTGGCCAGTGTTCAAAATGCTAAATGGAATAGGCAAATCAAATAGAAAACAACACGGGGCAGCCAAGTCCCTCAGAACCGTAGACCATCAGTCCCCCCCCGTCTGCTTTTAACCTGATGGTATGATTTCTGTCTGTTATCACACGATAGGTTGCATGCACATTGGCATCAACACAGCGTTCAGTCAGCGCATGTAAGATTCAAGATTTCTTTATTGTCATTTCACAGTACACTGTAGAACAAAATAGGAATACGGAATACGAGATATTAGATATATAAAAAAAGAAAATGCTTATATGGGTGTGCAGATGCAGTGCTGTCCTCGACAGCACAAAAGAGAGAACGGAACACAGAGAAAAGGTAGAGCTAAAGGACAATGCATTAAAAGGAGAAAAACTTCGGAGGAACCTGCTGCTAACTGCTGTAAAATTACAGATATCTTCACAAGCAAAGGACGTATTCAGTGTTCAAAAAAAGAAAGAATAGTGTAAACAGAAAAATATTTAAACAAAATGCTTTAAGTGTACGTGGTCTGAGTTATTATCCCAGGCCCCCTGGCTCTGGTGCCTCACCTGAGAGTTTCTATTTCCTGCTTGCCCATTTCCACCACATTCTCTAGCTGCATTATGACACCCAGCATGTCTTCATTCTGCTTTTTCTCCTCAAACAGCTCCTGGCTGACTTTAATCAGCTCTCCTGCTCCGAGTCGAGCCAGCTCGGACTTCTGCTTATTGATCTCAGACATCTGTGTTTGAATCTGCTCCAGCTGAGAAGGCAAGACAAATAAAATGCTGAAATACTATAGATGTCAATAAAAATGAGCAAAATAGCCACATCATTATTGATCATTTTGTCTGGAGAGTTGGTATATCTGTGTGTTTATGACTAAAATATTTACATTTATTTTCAGACAAGTTACTCACCAGTCTTTCCCTGTCATTCTGCAGGGCCTGTAGTGCATTCTTCAGCCCCCACACTTCTCCAGCGGAGCCTCCTTGGCTGCTGTGTGCTACGTGGCCACCTGCCTTGCTCATCTCTTCCAGCTTCAGGCTCACTTCCTGGGCCTTGTTTACTGCCTGGTCCCGGCTGTCCTGGAGAGAGGCCATGGCTTTTGAGAATGCCTGGTTCTCTGCCCTCAGTTGTGCCGTCACTTCTCTCTCCTCTAGCAGCTTCTGTTCGACAGCCAGCAAGTCTCGGGCCAGCTCTGCCACCCTCTCCTGAGCGCTCTCTGACTCTGTACGCATCACACCTCCCTCCCATTGCAGCTCAGCTAGCTCTTTGCTCTTGCTCTCTTGCTCTTGTCTGTCCTTCAGTAGGCTCTCCTCCAACGCCTCCACTTGTTCTCTCGCTGCTTGTAGCTGTTCCCTAAGCTTCTCAACCTCTGCACCGGGAGCATCTATCACCTGTGATGCTGTCGTATGGTCAACAGCCTGGCTAAGAGTCTCCCTTTCCACTCTGCCTGCTTCTACTTCTGTCTCTCTGGCTCTGCTAACACTCTTTAACTGACATTCTAATTCCTCACGTTTTCTTTCCAGGGAGGCAATACGCTGTTGCTGAGCTGTCAGAAGTTTTTTGTGTTGGGAGTCTTTCATGCTCAGGACTTGGTTAAGTTCTTCACGGTAGCCGTGAAGCTGAGCGGACAGCTTGCCCTTTTCAGCATACAGGTCGTCTCTCTGGACTAGCAGAGAGCGCAGCTCTTCCTTCAGGCTGTTGTTCTCCCCTGCTGCCTCTTGGATCAGACCGTCCTTCTCCATCATCACCTTGGACACAATACAAATATTATATTGGCTATTAAAAGAGGCTCCACACCTACTATAAGCTTTAGGTTTTTGTGCCTTACCTGCAGGTGTTTCTCCTCCAGCTGTTTGTACATGTTGAGGACTCTGTCTCTGTCATCCTGCAAGGACCCCATGGCCTTCATGAAAGAGTCTAGTCTGGCTTTTCTGTTGTTGCTCTCTTCCTCTGCCTTTCGCAGTTTTTCTTCCAAATCCCGCACTTCCCCTCTTCTTTGCTCCAGCTCCTCCTCAGCTTCTCGTGCCCTGCTATCAGCCTCCTTTCTAGCCTCCTCTGCACCCTGGGAAATGAAACACACATGAATGGCAAAACATTTGTTAAGAATATGTAATGGCTGCAAACTGATTTCTCAGGAAACATCCATGAGCATATAGTATGTACTGTAGATGAAAATATGGTAATACCTCAGCAACAGCTTGCTCCTTCTCCCCGAGCATTTCCATTTCTCTCCTTTCCTTCTCATTTAACTCAGTCTGAAGACTCTCTGTTAAGGCCTTAGAGGACCGCAGGTCTGTTTCTAGTTGCTCCACGTTCAAACACAGCCGCCTCTCCTCTGCCTCCCTCTCACTCAGCTTAGTCCTGGCCTGGTTGAGTTCACCCTGCAGCCGGCCTACAGCCTCCTCTAGAGCTCTGGCCCTCTGATGGAGACTCTCTAGCTCATTTTTCAGGGCTTGGGCTTCACCCTGTACAGACTGCAGCTCAGCTGTAGTTCGCTGAAGCTTGCTCTTCTCCTCCTCTAGGGCAGCCTGGCTCTCTGTGACTTTCTTTTCCTCCTCTTTCAGTCTCAGCTGCAAATCTTTGTTTGCTTTCTCTAATCTGAAAATAAAAAAATGTGAGTTTGTAATGTAAAATGTGAATTTAAGAAGCAGAACATAATCCGAGGAAATAAGACAAATACAGAGAGATAGATTTACCTTTCCACTGAAAGCTGAAGTTCCTCTTTCAGGGCAGATTCTCTCTGAAGCTGTTCTGCCAGTTCCTTGGCCCGTGTTTCAGCCTCGCGAACTTCAGCCTCCTTACCCTGCAGAGCATCATTAAAGCGAGTCTCCCATTGTCGGGTCTCATCCAAAACTCTGTCCCGGTCGTCTTGCAGTGAGGACATGCAGCGTGAGAAGGCAGCTAACCTGGCCAGAGACTCGTCCAGACGAGCTTGCATCTCCTGGGCTCGTCTCTCGGCTCCTTCTGCTATTTCTCTGGCCTCCAGAGTGGCTTCCTCTTCCTTTTCCCTTTCGCTGTACGCATCTTCCAGTCTCAGCTCCATCTCCTTCAGTTCGGCCCCCAGTCTGAATCTCACAGAGTCGAGGGTTTGCTCTGCCTCAGCTTTCATTAAGGTTTCTTTCTGTTTGGCATTTTCTTCAAAGGCTGTTTTCTCAGCTAAAGCCTTGCTTGCCTGCTTCTGGGCCTCTTCCAGCTGGGATGTGCAGCTAGCCAACTCCGCTTCAGTCCTTCTCAGGTCTTCTATAGTTTTGGAAGTCTCGAGTTGGGATTGTTCTAGTTTGTGGTGGAGCTCATCATGGCCTAGCTGCAGCGCTTTAGCTTCCCTACCCAGTTCACTGATCCTCTCCTGGTAGTGGATGCAGTCCTTCTGCAGCTGACGGACCTCCAGCTGCTTCTCCCTCAGCAGTTCTTCCAGCTGACGCACTCTGCTCTGACTGCCTTCTTTGACCCTCTGAGCAGACCTCAGCTGTTGCTCCAGCTCCCTCTGCTTACCAGACTCTGCTTCAGCTTCAGCTCTTTCCCTCTGGGCTTGCCTCATGTCCTCTTCCAGCCTGGCGGCCCGGTCCCTCTCACTCCGAGCCTGGGCTTCGAGTTCGGCTCGCTCCCTCTCTAACCTTTCCACCTCCCGCTGCAGTTCAGTAAGGTGCTCGCGGTTGTCTGCCATCTCCTGCTGATAGCCAGCGATGCTCCCATTCAGCTGAGCCAACTGGTTCATGAGACGCTCCTCCAGGTTATCTTTCTCAGTTTCAAGGCTTCTGAGGAGCTCTTTGAACTGGGCTTCCCTCTTTGAACTGTCTTCAATCAGGCTCGTTTCTCTCTCTTTGCTCTCTTGGAGGCACTTCTCTAGAGAAGCGATAAGGTTCTCCTTCTCTTTACTCTCCTGAAGATCTCGCTCAAGAGAGGCCAGCTGAGCTTTGAGTTCAGCCTCCTGTTCCTGCCATAGTGCCCTCTCTGCATTAACAGCTGCCTCCATCTCCCTCATTTTATCCTCTAATAAAACTTGAACACTTTTAGTCATTTCTGCTTTTTCTTTTTCCTCAGTAGGTTGTAAATTTGTTTCTGGCACGTACACTGCAGTTATTTGCTCAGCTGGTGCTTCCTCTGGAGTTAAAGTTATTTCTTTTTCATCATAATGACTCTCAACAGGCTCTGATCTGGTCATGATTATGTCGGACTGCTGGGCAGTGACAACCTCTTCTACAACAGCTGCAGAGCTAAGCAGAGTAGGCTGAATTACATTGTCCTCTTGGTTTCCTGTGTGGGCAAGTTGTTCCCTCAACTCTTCAATCTGCTGCCCGAAAGAGTCTCTTTCTGCCACTGTAGCGTTCAACTTGGCTTTCAAAGCCCCCAGCTCTTCTTGAAGTCTCTCAACCTCACCTTTGAGAGCCATGCCCTCTCGTTTTATTCCGGTCTTTTCCTGCATCTCTCTAAGTCTCTCATTCTCCTCCTCTAACTCCAGTATTTTCTGCTGCTTTGTTTTAGCAAATTTTCTCATTTTGTCTTTCACTGTATCCACCTCTTTCTGTGCCTCCTCCGCCTGTCTTTCAGCTTCCTGCCTCGCAGCCTCGTGTGTCCTCACCCTGGCTGCGAGCTCCTGTCTCTCCTGCCTGGCAGCTTCCAGGACTCGCCTTACTCGCTCTGCCTCATCGCTCACGTTTTCATATGACTTGAGCAGAGTCTCGTACTCATCCTTCATGGCTTGAACCTTTTCCTCCCATTCTCTGCCTGTTCTGGCAGACTCTTCTTTCGCCAGCTCCACTTCTCTCTTACAGGCATCCTTCTCATTCAGTATGCCCTCCATGGCCAGTTTGAGGCTCTCACAGGACGACCCTAGGCTTTGGTTTTCCAGTAATGTCCGGTCGACCTCATCAATCAGTTTAACTCTTTCCGCTCTTAGCTTCTCCAGCTCATCTTCTGCTGACTCCATTTTCTGCTGAAGTTCGGCTATGAGCTTCTCAGTTGAGGCTAGTTGTTCCTTTGTGGTTTTGCTTTCTTTTAAGGCCTCTTTGCGAGAGATCAGAGCAGCCTGAAGCTTCCGTTGAAGCTGCTGGATCTTTGCCTCGCTGTCTTTTTCTTCCTCTTGCTTCTGTGGAACCTCAACCTCTAACCTTTGGGTTTTTTCTTGCTCAGCCTTCAGTTCTTCCTGTAAAGAAGTTATTAGTTGATCCTTCTGAGACACTGTGTCCTGCATTGAGTGTATGAGAGAGTTCTGCTCACTAAGCTGCTGACTTAGCTCAATGATTTCATGGTTCTTCTTGTCAAGGAACTGCTTGAAGTCATCCACTTCAGCCTGAAGAGTTGTAATGGAGGATGTAGCATCTGCAGATGCTGCTTTGGCTGCAGTTTCCATCTCTGCTTTCAGGGTTTCAGTATAAGACTCGGCTTGGTGATGCTTTTCTCTAAGATCATTAATTTCCTCTGAGAGTGCATCAATCTGTCTTTCCTTTTCTCTTAGTGCTTGTAGCTCTTTGCCTAATTCCAATAATTCAGCATCCTTCAGCGACAAACTGGCCTGGGTTTCTTGCAGCTGCTTCTCTAGCTCTGTGTTAGACATCCGCACAGTTTGGACCTCTCCTCTGAGAGCTTTCAGAGATTCCTCCATTTGTGCAGAAAAGACATCAGACTGCTCGGCAGGATGCTGAACTGGATCACTGGATTGAGGTTGTGATGAATCAGCCTCAGATGTTGCAAAATCCACCCAATCCTCCTGGACCCAATCACCTGCTGCTTGCTTTTCCAAATTTTCAGCCAGTGCCCTGTCCTCTTGGGGACGTAGATCTTCTCGTTCAGTGCTGACCTTTACTTCTAATTCTCTCAGTTTAGTCAGAAGAATTTCTTGCTCGCCGTTCTGCGCCTCAAAACGTTCCATAAGCTCACTGTATTCTTCTTTCTGCTGCTTCAGCTGTTCACGGTGGTGCCTATCTTTCTCTTTTGCCTTGCGGATGGTTTCCTTGCGAGATTCTTGGGCCTCCTGAACTTTCTTATGAAGGGTTTCACACTCTGCTTCAAGAGAGGCCACTTGGGATCGGAACACAGCTGTTTCAGAAGTGTCTGATGCCTGCTGAGCATTTTCAGCTTCTTCACTTAGCTTTTTATTCAGAGCAAGCGTCTCAGTTAGAACTTGATCCTGTTGGCTAATTTTCTGCTCAAGACTCTGAACAGCCTCTTCTTTGGATCTTATAGCTTGCTTGAGTTCGACAAGTCTAGCCTCCATTTCCTGAATCTCATGTCCTCTAGATTGCTCTACCTCTGGAATGTCTGCAGGAGCTTCTCCCTTTGCTGTTTGATCTCGCCCTTTCCATTTCTTTGCTTCTACCTCAAAATCGGCAACCTTCTTCATAAGCTCTTTGCGTTGCACAAGTGCTGCCTGCAACTTCTTCTTTGTGTTTGTCAGTTGGGTTTCCAGCACTCCTTTCTCCTTTCGTAAACTAGCAAGTTCATCATCTCCATGAGCAGCGGAGTCTTCATCACTTACTTTCTGCGTCTCATTTCTGACTTTCTCAAGTTCCACTATCTGCTCCTTCAATTTATTGACTTCACAGTGTGTCTGGAACTTCTCTTCTTCTGCTTGGAGGAGTTTAGCTGACATACTGTCAATGAGCGCCATCATCTCTTGCTCTTTTTGGCTGAGATAGAGCTGTAGCTCAATAATCTCAGAGTCCTTCTGTGACAACATGTCTTTGTTGAGCTGTGATGTCTGAGAGTATTCCAACATGCTGTTTTCCATATCTTGAAGCCTCCTTTCAAGCTCAGAGGAGAGGAGCTCTCTTTCCTCCAGCTGAGCACTCAGCATCTTGGCCTGCCCCTCCTGCTCAGAGGAAGCTTGGTGGGCAATTTCCAGATCTGTCTGCAGGGCCTGGATCTTCTCTTCCTTGACTTTACTTTCAGTGCTTAAAATGTCTATCTGTCCTTCTAGAAGCTGCATTTCAACACTACGTTTCTCCATCCCAGAGCTGCTTTGCTGGGAAAGCTTGTCCAACTCCTCTCTGGCTGACTTAAGTTGCTCTGCAAAACTACTGGACTGCGACTCAGCCTCTTCTTTGGCAGCAGTAAGGGACTGTGTGTCTTCTTCCAGGATCTTGATTTTCTCTTGTGACTCTGCAGCTGCCTCCCTGAGCCTCTGAAGCTCAGCCAAAAGCTCACTGTACCTCTTTTGAAGTTCCTCAGCTAAGGCCTGAGCAAAGACCTGGCCAGAGGGCATGTTACCGTCTGTGGACAAACTCTGCTGAGTTAGATGAACTTGTACGGTCTCTCGGATGATGACAGAAGATGACTCAACTTGAACTGTGGAGGTTTCCTGCTCCATGCTCGTTTCCTCCCATGACTGCAGCTGTAGCTGGCCAAAGTCCTGCAGGATGGACGGCCACTCCTGTCCTCCATCTTGATTCACAGCTTCCAGGAGGCCTCCATCTTGATTCACAGCTTCCAGGAGAGTCCAGCTGCTGTGGGCCACCTCTGAATCACTACTGGTGACCATCTCATCTGAGGAGGTCCCTTTGGATTCTACTGGGGATTCAGACTGGTGTCCAATAAGCTCTGGGCTACTCTCATTATCAGCAGAAATGGAAAGGACTGAGGTGTCCTCAGCAACTAAGGTGGTCTCCTCTTCTTGTGTATCTTCCTTGAAGTCAGGAAGGGCTATTGAACTGTCATGGGGCGCTGGACTGGCATCTTGACTCTGATCGTAGTTTTCACATGATGCGATCCCACTGGAGCTGTGATCTTCAGCCTTTCTTAGGGACTCCTGCAAGGCAGCCAGCTCATTGTCTTTTTGTAGTAGCTGCTGCTCCAGTTCCAGTATGAGCACTGTGGAAGTAATTAGAAAAACACAACTTATTTTTCAGTAGGAAATACATATCGTTTTAACAATTACTTTGCATAATCAGCAACAACTCTGGATCAAGTTAAAGAGCCCCATCTAAGAACAAACAAGGGTACTGACTGGATACATTATTGTTCATAGTTCATATGGTTAGCTTGTCCTTTACAAAATTAATACATAACAAAAAAAAACTCTATTCCAATGTATTGTAAGTTTGACTTTGTAAACCTAGACCTAAAATATACAACTTCACAGTGCCCAGAATGATTTTTAGGAGAAAGGTTAAGGTAAAGATAAATGTGGTACAATTAAAATAAAGACTCACACTCATTTAACTTTAATTATATTATTAAATGATTATAATAGCATAAATGACATTAAATGGGTCCACATTTTTTTGTATCAAAGAGTAAAAGTATTCATTATGCTGATTTGCTAATTTTGGAACAACATATGTAGCATATAACTGGATTATAATAATTGATGCATCCATGCGTAAGGATCACTTTAAAGTCACAGTTGATAAAGGTGGGGATCATTTTATCTACTGTAAACTGCCATGTTGCTTAATGTATTGCAGCTAACAAATATTTTAACTATCCATTATCTTGTTTTGTCCACAAACAAAAAATATTTACTTTACAATGATAAAAAAAAAGAGAAAATCAAAAAATTCTCACAAGTGAGAAGCTGGAACCAATTAACGGTTTGCATTTGTGCTAGAAAAACTACTTATTAAATTTATCTGCAACTATTTTGATAATCAATGAATCATTTGACAATTTGCTTTTAGATTAATCCAATTATTATGGTGCATTAGAGCTGAAATAGTTTATTTGTTGATTATATTGTGTATTAACAATGTAATTAAAGCTGTTAAATAAATGTAGTGGAGTAAAAAGTACAATATTTCCCTCTAAAATGGAGTAGAAGTAGAAGCGGAGTAGAAGTATAAAGCATATAATGTTAATGCTCAAGTACCTCAAATTTGTGCTTAAATATAAATAATACTCAATTAAATATCTTTATTTATATTCCATCACTGCCTCACACTAGTGTCATATTATGGCTCCAGTTTAGTCCTTATTGCTACACATTAGTAGCTTGTCCATAAGAACTCTGCATTAAAAGGTAAACGGATTCCTTTTATGATCTTGACCATTGTTTTTGATTCTGTTTCCAAATAAATAATTTATTTTGGGAGAGTGCACCAACAAATCCAGTTTATGTACCTTTTTTAGCTTTGGATGAATCCTCTGCTGATGGTTCAGTCACATCATCTCTTTCAGACATCTGCAACAGAGAAAAACAAGAAATGAAAACTGGCAAGATTTAAACTTGTTGATCTTTTTCACCATTTATCTAGAGAAAATGTCTTGTATAAGGAGTTTTTAAATGTTCTATAAGGCCTCTATGATTGCTCTATTTAAATCTATCTCAGTAGCATATACGGCTGTAGCTTGAAGTGAAGGTCATGCAAGTCACTCATAACAGTGGATCAGTGCAGAAGGGATTAGACACACTCCCTCACACTGAGTAGAAGTATTGTCCGTCTATGACCCTGCTTCTGTCCTGTCTGAGACTGACTTACATCACCTGGCCAGACACCAGTTATGTCCCCGGACCAAGACCAGTCAGACTGCTCTACTCTCAAAATAGAAGCTTTTTAAACTTTATTTTAATGAAAGGGGAAAGTACACATGACACGGTTGTCCAACTTTGTGGATATAACTACTTTAACTTCTTATACCTCATCTTATACTAAGCTTGCAGTCTCATATCTTCCACTTCAACACCTTTTTTCATCATATACACAGAGATGTAGCTTAAAAGAAAGTCTTTGCAAAGACAGCAAGAAACTCAGCTTCACAGATATGATAAAGCTTACAGAGTATCACAGAGCTTATTTATGATGTTCTTTTGAAGTATACATCTTAAGTAAAACAAGCTGCTTACATTTGGTGTCAAGTTGGTAATGATCATCAAAACTTGCTTCTTTTATTTATTTATTTTTTTAAGCGCTCTGTATTTAAGACCTTATTTAAACTTTGCGTTTATGTGACCCGTATCTGGTTTTGTTATCTGGGTAAGGAAAAATGCATGTTAATGCAGTGTAAATGCATAAAAAAATCCCCATGATTGAATCTCAGCCAGATGTGAATGAAATCTTTACAGCATGACCACATTCCTCAGAAAGAAAACCCACCTAGCAAGTTTAAAGATTATATAACTCCTCCTCTTCCTGCTTGGTTAAGAGGCCCAGCAAAAAAAGTCAAAAAGTCTTCCCTGAAGTGGTTTCAAAACAAACAACAGCAGTCCATGGCATTGCTTACCTTGACCTGGGATGCACCATATAAGTCCACTAGCTCTGCTTAGCTTATTTACATATTGAGATCAGATCACATGGCAGGCAGAATCGAGATTATGAGAACGTATTTTAATACCGGATGTAATTGCAAAAGCCTGTAGATCAGGTACTAGATAATGTATGGTAATACCAGGTGTGACTGGGTTTTTAGCACTGACCGTTAAAATTTGCTGCTCCAGCTGTTGTATCTTAGCAGTGGTTTCCTCTTGTGTTTGGTCTAGTTGTTCTGAAAATCAGAGATTCATATTAAAATTTCAGAACTTTACCAAACCCTCAAAGTTTGACATTAACACAGTGAATTCCATAAACAGATACAACCAGATTCATTTTCTTACCCCGTAGGGTTTCCATGGTGTGGGTGAGCTCAGCACAGTGCCCCTCACTCTCACTGCGTTCTTCTTTCAGCCTTGTCAGTTGTGTCTCAATACACTGCACAGTGTCCAGGAACAGGGAAAGGTCAGCAGGAAAGGTGCTTTCCTCTTCTGCTTGCACATCTTCGAGAGCCAGAGAACGTAGGTGTCTCCAAACTTCAGACAGGATCTCACCCTTCTTCTGGACATCTTCATATTCTCGCTCTAGTTTATCCACTTCTGACTTCTCTGTGGCGTCCTTGCTGGCGCGGTCAACTTTCTCTCTCATAGACGCAAGTTCACTTTCAAGCCGGACTATTTCCGCTCTGTCTCTCTCTGAGGCATCACGGCTCGCTTGGACGGCTGCGAGCTCAGCCTCTTTCATCAGAGCCAGTTCTCTCTCCAATCTGGCAACTTCCACCTTCTCCTTCTCCAGAGCCTCTTGACTAACATGCTCCGCCTCCCTCAGGGAGACCAGCTCGCTCTCTTGCCTCGCCACCTCCGTGCTCTTTCTTTCCAAAACCTCCAGGCTGGTTCGGAGGGCTGCGAGTTCCGCATCGGCCCTGCTGGCCCGTTCGGCCCACTGCTGCCTCTCCTCCTCCCTCTGCTTGACGGCCTGGGCCAACTCCTGCTCCATCTGCCGGAACTGAGCAGTCAAGATCTGAGCAGAGAATGATTCAGAGAAGGAGGAGGATATAAGTGGGTGTGTGTTGTGTGGCTCAGCCAACAATGCATACTAATGACATGTCAACTAGGGCGTGTGTTTGTTTGAATAGTTTTCTTTTCATCAAGTAGCAGCAGTATTCATTACACGTGAAGCGTCTGTAAATATCTGCCAATATGTGTACAGTCTCTAAATCATCATACAATACGTGGCTGCACAAGTGGCATCCAGTCCAACATGATCTGTACCTGTTTTTGCTGATCAGCACTGCTCACTTCCTGCTGTAGCATTTCCAGCACTTGGGACCGAGAGTTTAAGGCCTCCTCAAGCTCCTCACAACGCCTCTGTGCTGTTTGCAGGGTCTAGGAGAAAGAAAAGAGACCATATGATAGTTTAAAGGGCAAATGTATATTTGAAGTGTCATCATCTGCTCTTTTTCTGATTTAAATTTTTTTTCACTGATTATGTTTGGACCTGCTTTCCTACTTCTTTCCAAATTTTTGTGGAGTCTTTTCACACATGGGATCAGTTTGCCATCAGGGCTTTCTGCCAGAAAGTCTTACTACTTGGTTATGTTTACTGAAAAAAGGGCAAAAAGCCTTTTCCCAGAAAACCCTGAAGGCAAACTTCTCCCATGCACTGTTTTTTCTTATCTGAATTGAGGGTCCAAGGACAGAAGGCACTGTATGTTGTACAGAATGTAAAGCCCTCTGAGACACATCTGTGATTTTGGGCTATACAGATAAAACTGACTGAACTACATTTCTTTACAGAACAGTGACATTAACATTTCTCTTCATTCTATTACTTGATGTGTCTGTACTGTTTAAAAACAACCATCTAGAGATGAAAGCGTGGGTGGTGATGGTGCAGTGAATAAGACGCATGCCTTTGGGTTCAACACCCCACTGTGACACGTCCACCAATAAATAAAAGTGTCAGCTAAATGAATAAAATCTAATATAATGTAAATGAAATAATCAGTCAAGTAACTGATTAATTAATAAAGAAAACCTTTATCTGCGTAAACTGTAAACTTTTGAGCAAAAATGCTACAGCTTCAGGTGGTTTTGAAAAAGTGAATATTTTCTTGTTTTGACTATTTTCTACCATTTTATGGAGAATCCAATCAATCAAGGTAATAATCAGCAGATTAATCAATAATCACTGTACTGTATTTTTAGAACTACTGGATTTTATACCTGCTGAAGCTCGCTGGCATTCTGAGACTGTGCTGTGGCCCTCAGCAGCTCTTCTTCATGTTTCTGGATCTGTTCCTGGAAACGCACATCCTTCTCACAGACCACAACCTGCAGTTTCCGCAACTGAAAACAAAAACACAATAATTCAGTCGGAAAGAGCTTCTGGTGAAATTTAAAATAATAAATCATTAATTAATTAAAGCTATGTCACCTGTTCAGCATGGGCAGATTCCTTCTCTTGCAGGAGCTGTTCTGTGGTCTGGAGTCGTTCCTGAAGCTCTCTGCTCTTGGCTTCCTCCTCACTCAACTTGTTTTTCAGTTCTTGGAGCTCCTCCTCGACTGCAGCCCCAACTCCTGTGAAAGAGCTGTCTGGACTCTGCTGTAGACAAAGATGTTCAAGTCAGATACAAACTAAAGTGTTTGAGCTTTGTTGTTAGTTTGTGGTTCTGAATGAGGCATATCTTAGCCTGTCTAAGATAGTTGTTGTAAAAGGCTGGAGGATGATTTGTAAAAATCCTACAAGCACAACACAGACTAGTTTGCCTCATTTAAACTTACAGTTGCTGCTCCTTGTCCTTTCAAATCAGTTATCTGTTTGCTGAGGGAGGCCATCTTGGCTTTGGCCTGCAGTTTGAGTTTGGTAAAGCGAGCCTCAGCTTCTTCTTTCTCATTCTGCGGATTTTTAAAAAAGCATTGGTGCACAGTCGTAAAACACACTGGCATAATGAATACAGTGATCTGCCTTTTGGAGTGCACACACACACACCTTGAGCTGTGCATCTTTGTGAGCCAGCTCAGTGTCCTTTTGGGTGAGGTGGGTGTCTTTTTCACGGATGAGCTCCTTCAGCTGGACCACCAGTTGTTCCAGGTGAGCCAGTCTCTCCATGGCCTCCTCAGGTACCTCAGCCTCCACTGGAGACTGGCCCTCACCGGCAGGGAGCTGAGGCACCAGCATGCCCTGTTCAAGGAAACAGATAACGTCATGGCTGTGAAGTGGAGCAGCAGCTGAACCTGTAAAAACAGCTATGTAATGTCCTATATGGCTCTGATTTAGCTTTGTTAAGTCTGAGAAATAAACTCTGAGGCTGTCATTTGGGTCATTTTCAGTTTGGGCTATAGTGTGGACGATGAGGGCATTTAAAGTTGTATAAAGCAGTTTGTGGCTCCAAAAGAGCTGCATGAAATCTGATAACTTGCCTCTGAGAATGTCATTTGAGTCAGCGTCAGCTGGGTCCGAAGACTACAAGTTTGAAAATGAAAACTAATCGATAGGTGTGGTGGTAAAAAGACATTACGTCACCAGATCTATGCTTGAGGCCACATTAGCTGATACAAGCATAACACACCTGAATCTCCAACCGAACTGTTTGCAGTCGAGGTGCACTGTGCGTAATATAGGTGCCAGATTTTGACATGAGATTAAAAAAAAAGACATGTGTCTGGTTCTGTTGCTTCCATTTTAATCCATCCGTTGTGAGTCCAAGAACATTACTAGATTGCATTGCTAAAGTATTAATGAAAGATTCTACAAAGCTGCATCATGGGAAACAGAGGATAGAGCATTTTTAAGATGCCTCATACTAGGAACTAGTAGGATATCTCGGCCTCTGCTGCTTCACTTTTGACCATTTATTCTCTTTTGAGTGCCCCCTACTGTGACAAACTAAATCGCTTGAGTAACTCTTTAATATAGGAGAGAAAAGGTCTTCTTCAATGCACAGACATGCATTTTTTTATATCTGCATTACATTCTTCCATAACTTGCAAATATGGAATAAAAGACACAGCTGTAGCTGTGTACAGATAAGATGCCTTAAGAAAGATGAGAGACAAGCCGACATATATCATCCTCCTTTTTAATGCTTGCTCCAAACAGAGGCTAAAAAGCTCTGGAGAAATTGGAAATTTGACTACACATAAAATATACAAATACATATTTAACAGCTTGGGACACAGTTGACAATACTCTTCATTATAATTTGTTTTTATTTATGTGTTGCTCTCTCACCTGTGGGTCTCCATCTGGGCCCTCCTCTCCAGAGAGCTCCTGGAGGACCGTGGCCAGACGGCTGAACATAAAGATGGCACTCTAAGAGAGGGGGGAAAAACTAGCATCAGTAATGTCTGACATTTAAATCATATGTTTGTTGCACCTGGCTTGCCTGTTTGCCACAGATAAAACGGTGGAAATGTTACACTTTCTTTTCAAAACATTTCTGCTGTTTAAACTCTCTCCATCCATATTTAGCTTCATTATAATTTCAGCTGCTAGCAAATTTTTTATTTTATTTATAGTAGCATAAATGCAGCCTGAAGTTTATGCTGTGCTTGTAATGCACAGTATATAGCGTAGGATATGTGCACTTGCTCTTATACTATGTCTTTGCCGAGAACAGTTTGAAGTGCGGCCTGACACTGATGATGAATGATGATGAATGATGATGAATTTCTTCAGCGTCTCAACTGTGAGCATTTGCTCTTTTTCTTTTGATGAATCAAGATAAAAGTTGTATATTAACCAGTAATTAAAATAATAATAAATAATTGTTAGTTGCATTAAATTTCGAAACCCAAAACAAAATAGGCAAGGCAAAATGTAATTGTGTAATTATGTAATAAATTTTATTATATGTGTATAGTTAAAGAATTTAGGATTTTGGGGGCTTTTAAAAAAACCCATACAGATTTGCACAATCGTGTATAAATAAATAAACTGTACTAACTGGGCTCACACAGACTCATATTTTGAGAAACTGTGTTAAATATTATTGTACTTTCCACCACCACGTCCGAAGCAACACATTGGCAGACACCCCCAGCCCATTTTCTGCGAGCACGACCGGACGGAGTCGACTTTTCCCGAACTTGCCGGACACTCCACTGCGGCTGCGTCACTCTTTTGTGAACCGCAAAGATTATACCTAGCTAACGCGAAAATGGACGACAAACTTTCCAAGCGGATGAACAGCGACGCCTTCAAAAAGCAGTAGACGCATTTTAAGATTAAGAAACGGTGGCGTGAACAGGACACTCCGTGAAAACATCCGGTGTTTACCCTGACTGTACTTTCCACGATACAGTAAGTTAGCTAAGGCTATTTTAGCTTGCTAACGCTGATCACTCGCAATAAACAAGGGCAGCTTCTTTAAAACCTGCTTCGCTGACTTTTTATCCTTCGTGCATGACAGCTCGGCTGTGCAGCCCAGTCAGTGGTGCATTTCTGAAAAGACGGGACCTTTAACTCACCTGTACGAGTGTTTCGCAGGTAAATGTGTCTGCTTTTTATTTGATATATTTCCTCGGATGGATGTCAGAGCATAGCCACATCACCAAACATTCCCGGAAACAAAACTTCCTCTGCTCTGATTGGACAGCCGGGATCTGTGTATGTAAGGGACTGTCTGCAAATTTCAAGGCGTCTACTCCATTCTAGGGAGTATCTGAATAAACATACTTTTAAAAAAAAACGAAAAATGATCCCTTGAGCAAAAATACACAATATTTAATTTCAGCATTATACTGAAGCATACTGAAGACAGTATAAGGATGGCAGGACATGACCAAAGAGTCAACCTGATCATCAACCATGGCAGGCAGCTGGGGAGGAGCCTGCTGCTGCTGGCTCACTATGCCACAGTGTTTGTGGCCTTCGTGGGGCGCAGTGTGGAGTGGATGGTGGATGCAGTGAAGTGGACCACCCTGTTTGCACGCTACACAGTGTCAGTGTTTGACTCCATCTACAGACATCTGCACTGGGGAAAAAGTAAAAGTGGTGGGGCCGCCAGAGAGATCTGCCCGAGCTCTGACATGGAACCACATTGACTTCAAGTATCTTATGACTGTCCAACAGTGTTGTCTAGACAGGAAGCCAAATTAAGACAACAACAAAGAATGCAACTGAAGCTGAAGGAGTGAACTTTTGGAAATATGAAAAAATGCTGCTGGATGAAGAAGGAAAATGAGGCCTTACTGAAGTCAGAAACATTATAGCTTTTTACTTTTTTAAGCTCTTAAAACATAACATATTTGTCTTAATAGTGTCATATTTGTATATGTAGTTATAATGTTGTATTCCATGTTTTGTTATTGTCAGGAAAAGCTCTTCCAAAACATAGGAAACTATATTTCAGGCTATTTGTCATACACAGTGGGGGAAAACCTGATTGCCACTCATCATTTATACTTGCTGATACGACTGTTAATGCAAATGTGTTGCAGGGTAATGCAAACTACAGTCAAATACGTTGGAAGCATACAGACTGTATGCCTTTAACATATTACATTACTGCACTACAGGCAAATTTGTTTTTTAACATCTGTGCCTGCCTGAAACATAAACATAATATTTCATTTTGCTCTAACATAATGTAAACCGGCGTTGCATGAATTAAACTCATGCAATGAACAATGTTCTACCACACTGGCTACACCAGTTACCTGTGGAGATGCTGCTTCTTGTGGTTTTCCTGTGATAGACTGAAACGTATACGTCCGTTGTACAAGTTTTTATGGCCAGAAAGAAACACTAACACTACTGCTGAATGTACTTCAGAGGCAACTAATTTGAGTTTTTTACATGTCCTGGAAATTTGATTTGTGAAATGTTGCTTTAAAATGACCCCACAACTGCATTTACCAGTGAAGGTTTTATTTTTACTTTTGTACTCATGCATAATATTTTAATTTGTTTGCACATTTAGACTTCAGTTGAAGCACTGACATGTATATATCTGTGTTATTTGTCTTTTTTATTACATATAACATGTTAATGAGTTGTAAGAATGCCCATTAACCACACTCATAGCTGCTGAACACAACTAATACAATAATGCTTTCAAATGTGACTATGAGATACTGTAATAAAAACAAAGGGGCCACATCTAGGAAGTGAGATTTAATCTCACATATAAGCACTTAGACATGGTTGCAGAATTAATGTCCTTGTTTCTGGGAGATCAGAAAGCTTTCTCCTGTGTTATATTAATTTCACTTACTCAAACTCTAATGTTTAAGTGACTATACCAATCAGCTGTGGCTCCTGCCTTCTTGGCTTTAAACAGTGGTATCCAAATAAAATTATGTACCAAATGATGTTTTGTTTATTTGCAGAATCAAACACAAATAGAGCTCTTTTTTTAGATGATTTTATTATTCTTTTAATATCTATATATGGACTGTCCGTCACAGTTTTCCAAAGTCCAAGGTGACATCTTCAAATTGCTTGTTTTTTCTGACCAATGATTCAACATTGATGAAACTGTAAAGTTAATCCACCGGGTCTTCACATCCTCAGATGGTGGGGGAAGATGGTGACAGCGAAAATAGACGATTCACTAGGTATTCTGGGGGCGGGGATGGTCACGAGCTGGAGGTGGTGCTCTGGTCAACAAAGCCCCGTGGGACATCACACGGAGGCATTTTGGAACAGAGATTTTCTGAAAGGTGAAGCAAGAAAAAAAGACAGGACAGTCTTTCTCTCATCTTCTCATTCTCACTTTGGGCACACCGGGGACACAGAGTAGTGTTGAAAAGCCATGAAAAAGTGCTTTTTGCACAACACGACCTTTAAGAATCTAATAATATATATTATCATTGATGGACATTTTGTTATGTAACAAGAACTTTTACTTTTGATACTATAAGTACATTTAACTGATATATAATATATATTGAGTATTTCTACATTGTTGTTTTGGTACTTTAATTTAAGTAAAAGACCTGAGCACATGCTGAGTTAAGTGTATCCCATCAGCTCAGGAGCATGACTGTGATGGATGTCCCGTGTCTCCACGTGAGGGATGAAAGCTGTATTGTGTTTGTCAGCAGTTCTTGATGTAAAGGTGGACGGAAACGGGACTGTCATCCTACCCCTCTAATGGGCTGATTAAGCCGATCATCTACATGTCTGCATGGATTACAGCTAGTGATTAGACCAAAGGAGGACACAAGAGGGGAGTGGGACTGCCTCATCCTCAAACACAGACAGCTACAAAAGGCCCCAACCAGCAGCTCCTCTCACCCTAAGTCCCATTGTTGTGTGACTGTGAAGAGGAATAACCTCCGCTTCACAGTAGACCAATCGGGCTGAGAGGTTTGTGCACCAGCTGCAAAAGGCTCCAGCTGCCTCCTACACACACTCAGGTGTCAGAAAGACATGGGTAACTCAACAGGATGCACCGTGGACGACCTGCAGGCGGTGGAGATGCACCTCTGGTACAAGAAGTTCATGACCGAGTGCCCCTCGGGTCAGCTCACCCTGCACGAGTTCAAGCAGTTCTTCGGGCTGCGAGGGTTGGACCCCGAGGCCAACGCCTACATAGAGCAGATGTTCCGCACGTTTGACATGAACAAGGTAAGATGCTGCATTTTCTTTAAACTACAAAGTTAAATACAAGAGGGTTTACACTTTGACTGCAGAGAGAGGAACTTCTTGAAGGTGCTAGTGAGTGTTCTGAGATTTCTAGTCTGTGTCATGTTTTGCAATTTGTATTGCCTTTTAAAGAGAAAGAACATAAGAAACAACACGAACACCGTGTGAACACAAAGACAAAAAAGGGGATTATAATTAAACGCACAGAATAAGATACATACATACACAATAGAAGAAGATTTTTTGTCCAGTTCTTTAATGTTTTCCTCTGGGTTCTCAAATTGTAACTAATTATTTTTATAACATAAATAATATTGTACATCAGGTCAATCGGCAGGTATTTCTTTCTTTTAATAATGTCTCACATTTAAAGGTAAACTCATCAATGTGGGATTCTGTTAGCTGGCTGTTTTCCCTTAAACATATAAGCACTTCCATCATCAAATTGTTTACATTACTCTCTTAAAGTAAAGAAAGAGTCCTATAACTAATTTGAGATGCTTACTTAGTACTTTTGTTCATTACCCAGCTATGGTGTTCAGAAACATACTAGAAACACACTTTTATTTGAGTCAACCATCATTAAAAAGTATTATCTCTCCATAAAACATGTTTTTATTGTGCTTTTATTGTTTGTTTGTTTTGTTTTTTTTACAATTTTATAACTTATTTATAAGTATATTTACAAATAAGGCTGCAACTAATGATAATTACAACTAAAAATGATATAAAACAAAAATTAAATTCCCACATTGGAGAAGCTGGAAACAGATTTGTGGCATTTTTGCTTCATAAACTAAATACAACCATGAATAAAAAGTAATATGCAACCTTTAAGAGGCAATATTTTGGAAAGAATATTAGGGTTGCAACTAGTAATTGATTAATGATTTACTCTACTACATATAATGTAAACATAGCGAAAAATGCCCATCACAGCCCATGGTGACATCTATAATTTGAACTGTCTTTTCAACCAGTCCAAAACTAAAATACCGTAAAACATTAATTAATTGCCCAAGTTTTTATTTGCTTAAATCACTGAACTCAACCTGCCTGTATTTGAGACAGGCCTTTAATTCCTTTACCATGCCGGTAAATCTGAATGAATTAGACTTTAGTGCTCGTTGTTTCCTTAAAATGAACTAAGCAATTGAAATGTGGAGAATCTAACTCAACTAACAATGTGTAGCATGTCCATATTGACAAAATATTAAACAATTATATCGGTATGCACAATCTAAGCATCTTCTCAAGTAGGTGACCTGGTGGGCTTCAAGAGGTTTTATACATCCAAAGAACTTCTATAAAAGTCAGACCAGGCTTTTCATTGAGACCTGTGTCTAATTGGGACTAGGCTTTTAATTGAAGTTTTACTGTATATTACACGCTATAGCTTTGATAAGTTACTAGGTTTAAAATCCTCATGTTTGAGGTGCTGGAACTAGCAAATTTTGCCTGAAAAAAATACTTCAACAATTACTTTATAATCCAAATTTAGCAATTAATTTTGGTTGATCTAAACTAATTCTAAAAGCGATAAAAAAAATGCTTGAGTAATATCTGCTGCTTGTACTTTTGAAGTCTTTGTTAGGGCTAGAGTAGAAAAGTTTTTAAAACATGGAACATGCTACCCAAAGTGAAAAACATCTTTATCATTTGGGGACACACATTCACTCAAACATACAAGCAGTGCAGTGACCTCCCAGCAACAAGCCTGCAAACCATTTTGACCCTCACAGTTTAATTAAGAGCGTCTGCAAGTGTGCGACAGGGTCATCACAGGAGGTGACTGTCTGAGAAGCTGCAGGTCTATATTTAGTCTCCCCATCAGCTCACAAAAGGCTGTGGTAATCTTTGTGCATGATTTAAACTGTCAGATTATCTGTGAGACAATGATTTCATGCCAAGATTGTTGCCTGTGTTCAGACTGTCCCTGGAGATAATCCTCTGTCCTGGCACGCTTCAACTCTCGCAGATAGCTTTTGGAGTTGAGATGAAGGAGATCTCTTTCAGCTGAGCAACTGCTTTATCACTTTGAAAGGCTGAAAATAGTTTCATAATAAGTAGATGGTCATGCATAATAACTGAATGATGTTTGACACTGTTTTGACAAAGCACTCCTGTGTGAGTAGAGAGCACAAGTCTCATCTGCCTGCTTGTTTTTGCAGGACGGCTACATAGACTTCATGGAGTATGTGGCCGCGCTCAGTCTGGTGATGCGAGGAAAGATGGAGCACAAGCTGCGCTGGTATTTCAAACTTTATGATGTGGATGGCAACGGCTGCATTGACCGACATGAGCTCCTTAACATCATAAAGGTAGAGTATATCATGCACCTGCAACACTGGATTTTATAGCAAGTCCTTGCCTCAACATGATATACTGAGTTTATTCTGTTCCTTGCAGGCCATCCGTGCAATCAATGGAAATGAAAATCAGGACTTATCTGCTGAGGAGTTCACTAACCGAGTGTTTGACAGGATTGATATAAATGGAGATGGTGAGTTTTTTTCTGGCACTGTACATACAGTGACGAAGATTTAGGAAGAAATCGATCGTGGGTGGACAGTGTTTAGACATTCATCAGCTCCAGTGCTGTCGTCAGCCAGGAAACACAACAAGTATAATAACAAGATATACTGTAGGTGGCCGCTGAACACAATAACATTCCTTAAACCATTTACAAAATATGCTAATTCAACATGTAAAACCTCCACTGATTTTACACATCAAAGTTTGTTTTCAGGTTTTAAGCCTTTTGTGGCTCCAAAGGGAGCTGCGTGAAATTGTGCGTAAATTCTGATAAAGGTCAGCTGTGACAGAAAACCACAAGTTTGAAAATCTGAAGGTGTGTAGTCAGAAAAAAGGCTAGCACCTCGAGGCTCTGTTTAGCTGCTGCTAGCATGAAACACCTGAATCCCTAGAATGCGAGAAGTAAAACAATATTTTTGGTTCTGCTGCATCACTTTTGATTAAAAAAAAGTTACAGTGAAATGAAATTTAGAGTGTCTTTAACTTCAGTAACAAAATATGTGGGCTGGGTTTACTTACAATAGTGATTTAAATCAAATCCTTCAGATGTGATTGGATAACCACGCCTCCCAGCTTATTTTCTCAGGAGGAGGAGGAGGGTTAAATGAGTAAATTGGACCTCATGTTTTGAAAATGTACACAAAGTGTCTGCTAGCTACACACTAGCTAACGATCAAGTGTTATTTTATACAATGAGTAGGTTAGCTAGTCACCCAAAATCACATCTGATGGGACACATTTATGAAACCATGCCCAAATACAAGATGAGTCAAATATTTGTGTTTTACAGGAGGAGGAAAAAGATGTATTTTTAAGATTGTAGAAATACTCAAAAAAAATATTTCACACATATTTAGCATGTAGCAAGAGATAAATGACCAATATAATACACAGGGACACAGGATTAGAATATGGAAAAAGTATTTTTCATTTCACTCCATTTTAGTCCAAAATGAGTCCACAGTGCTAGCCTGATTTTATAAGAAAAAATGCATACTTTTATGTCTTTAAATACAATCTTTCCCCCTCAACAGGCGAGCTTTCCTTGGAAGAGTTTGTGGCCGGTGCTCGCACTGATGAGGATTTCATGGAGGTGATGATGAAAAGTCTGGACCTCAGCCACATTGTTGCCATGATCCACAACAGGAGGCACAGCGTTTAGGACCTGCCCAGCCGACTGCCTCATCCTCATTCATGATATAAACCAAGAGCTCAGTGTTGCCTCTGGTAAAAAAAGTAATTTATAGACTAAGATTTCTATTGAGATTAAATCCAGTTTAATATAATGCCAGTGTACCGCAAACACTGACATTTCTTATTTTTAATCTCTGAAAGAGAGACACACATGCACTTTCAATGCATTTGGATGACTCAGTCAACCTTTGCAAACTGGTCATTGTATTTGTTTAATGCTGCTGAGCTCTCCCAAGGGCACCTTGGCATAGGGATGATCTCTCAGACAGTCCACCTACCCACAGATACCCAGAGGAATAAAAGAGGGAGATAGTGAAGTAGAGTGGCAATTATATGCACTCAATGCTTTCCCAGTCTTTTTTTTTCTCCTTGGTCTGAGTTCCTCTGCATCAAATTACTCAACTTTCTGTTTACCCGTTCTTGCCTGTGGGGTTTACGGGAGGAGGTTATGACTCCACAGTGTGCTTAAAATCTATGCTAATTTGAAGTTAAATCTGTAATACAGGAACAAGTAGGGTGCAGATACAATTTTCTAATGTTTACCTTTTTTTAAAAATGTTTTTAACGTTTTTTTTACCTTTTGAAATAATTCAAATTGAAGCAAAAGACAAAACACTGGCTTGAGGTTTTTTAGCAACTTTGTGAGTGGGTGTTTCTTTGGCTGTGTGATCTGCTGCCTGTTCAGCATAAATACAGATATAGTTCACCGTTTCTTGTTTGTTGGCGATGTTTGACTGGTGCCTTCTGTTGGAAGATGGCAGTAAGTGTTTTTTCAGCTTTTGCTTATTTGTACAATAAAAATGAACAATTTAAGTCTACTGTGTGTAATGTAATATCTGTATTAAATGTACTGGATCTAAGTGTGTTACAGGTATTGATTCTAGCTTGAACACAACAACCAGCTTCACTTCAGACTTGTGGTAGCCATAAAAACCTTTCAGAGGTACACTTCCCATCTGCATTAGTCTAGGATCCACAGGAACAAATTCCTAATTCCTAATTAATGTTAAAGTCTGAGGTAACGTCATGACATAGAGAAACATTTGTACAAACCCTGCTATCATCAAAAAGCCAGTGTACCTTATCTTGACATACAGCACCTTCCACACTGTGCAGTGCAGTAAGTCAAATTATGGCTGGATTTTGGCTTGGGTTGATTGACTGCAAAAGAATTTAGAGTTTTAAAGGTGAATTTTATCATCTCCTAAACACAGACCAGTTAATGAGACAGCTCTTTCAACGGCTGACTTGTTTCTGTAACACTTAACTGTAAGTCCCTCTATTTCACATTTATAAATAATATGTAAATGTAAATAGTATATAAATACCTAATACATGTCTTTTAACAAACTGATATGAGAATATGTGTGAACATTATAACTTCTCCTATGAAGTAATTTTATTACAACTGTTTTACTATATTGTCATTCATTATGTTTAAGCAGACTTATTGTTTTCAGATAACTTCACAAACATTTGTGTATTTTAATACAAGTAAACAAAAGGTGACACATTGTGGAAGTGATATCGATTCACCTGAATGCTGCCAAGGTCGCTCTGTCAAGATGAACTTTAGTGTCTCTCTTTGTGTTATAATAAAAAAGAAAATAAATCTCTACAGTAAGGTTATTTGAAAATTTTCTTTTAATAACGCAAACTTATGGCATGTAATTTATACAAATTCAAATATTTAACATGAACAGTCCTGTTTTTTTCACATTCTGAGGCACAAAGACTTTAAACCACAAGGGGGCAGCAACATAATTGGATTAATTTTCCACCACAAAATTGCAAACAATAGTCTGAGCTCCTCAGTTTGCCAAACGCTGGTCCTTAAGTGTATAAATCCCCCTTTTGTGTTACTGTCACCGTGTCATCTCTCCTTTGTTCACAGCAGGCTCACAGGAAGTCGTACAGGTACTTGATAATTTCAAAATTCACCGTCCTGGAAGACAAATCACACAATAATAATAAATATAATACAATAATAATAATAATTCTGCTGTCAGTCTCAGTCATGAGTATTAACAGACATGCCCACACACCTGGATATAGCACAGATGAAGTCCATAGACACGGCACATTTGTACTTTGGGGCATCGAGCTGGTCGTCATGACTGACCTGAGTCAACAGCTGTAAGGTCACCAGGGAGGAGATCTAAATGGGGAATAGAGGGGAAAGTGAAATGACTGTTCCACTTCTTTAAACACAGTTTTTCCACACTTTGATACAGAGGCACTAAATGATGAGAGCCAGTTGCACACAGATATGGGTCGAGCCTAATTTCCTAAAACCATTTCATGGCCAGGGCCATTAATAGATCTGCATTTGGCCACGGATCCCGAAACTCATGACCATATGGGTTGAAAACTCATCTGAGACACTGTGGTCATTCAGCTTGATTTAACATAAAATTGTGTACCATTTGCACCTAGAAATGGGAAAATTCATAATTTAAAATCCTCTGATTATTATATTGCACATTCTCTTTCATTTGCTTATCTGCAAAAAAAGCATGAAATTAAATAATTTTCGATGTTCTCTAGGCACCACTACAGACCCATGAGACTTCCAACATCACACAATCCTAGAGAACTGCAGAACTAAATGAAGGGCAAAATTAAACCATTACAGAGCTCAGTTTACCAAATGGTTAAAAAAGACAAGCAGCATGTAAACTTAATGAGGTTAATTAAACTACTATTGTTTTGGATGGATAAGTTTAATGTTCTGCTGACAAACATGTGTATCTTTATTTTACTAATGTGGTCATCACAGACCATCTACAGACGAAGGCCTCCAGAAGTAAATTTGTCAAATTCTGTCAAAACAGGCGAATGCAAAGGATTTAGAGGATCAGCGAAGTTATTACAGATCACCAGATTGAATGGCAAATCATTTAATAGTTTGAGTATAAAGTAAAGTAAAGTAAAGTAGTACAGTAAAAGTCAGGAGATCACCAAAGTCAGTATGATTTATCCTCTGGAAAATTTGATGTCTGTACAAAGTCTCATGCTAATCAAAAAATTGCAAACTAGAATCAATGTATTATCAATGTACAAGCCACAGTCACTAAATGTGAACAATTCAGTCATATGAACACCGTTTCTTGTGTTTCATTTTTATATTTTTTGTGTGTGAAATTGTGAAATTACCACAGTTGTGTGCCCCTGCCAACCGGTCAAGTTGCAGTTTACATTCATGTCTGTCCAGACTATAATTTTATATTATGCCATTGTCCATCAGCCTGACTCTAATAGAGTTAGGCTGATAGACGATGCCATTGTCCATCGCCAATGGCTGACATCACAATGTTATTGCTAAAAAACTATTTTTACGTCACAATGACCTTTAGTCAAGTGTCACCAAATCAGTGTCCGACCAACTATGAAATACAGCCACATCTCCCCTTCTGTTGCAGAGTTATAGTGTTGAATAATGGCTAAAAAGGTGTTTTTCAGGGACATTATGTCGTCACAGTGAAGTTGACCTTTGACCACCAAGTCCAGAGTCCAGGTGAACATTTGTGCCAAATCTGAAGAACTTCCCTCATGGTGTTCCTGAGATATCACGTTCACAAGAATGGGATGGACGTACGCACAGAAAAACGAAAACATAATGCCTCAGGCCATGGCTGCTGCCAGCACAGAGACATAAAAACCATGCAAAAATTCAAATGTGAAGTGACTAAATGTGACTGCAGCAGCCAAATGGACACGGACCTGGGAGAAGATGCTGGCAGTAGGAGCGACTCTGCTGTCCACCACGCTGTAGAAAATGGCAAGCAGGCGATCCAGAGGGAAGGGTTTTGGCCCCAGAAGATGGTTACTTGTCTAGAAAAGAGATCATCTTTTTATATTATATATATACATATATCGGGTTATATTTAAAACTATATCTAAAAGCCAGTGTTATGTTAAGATGATTACCTTTTCATTTTTCTTCAAGAAATTAGTTTTTCTTATTTTACCGTGGTGCTGTTGGGAGGAAACAGGGACATCAAACTCATTAATTCCCACAAGACAAGACAATTTAATTAGTATGAATCACAAACTACCAATTTGCCCCAAAGGGCTTTCAAATATGTAAAACATACAAACCCCTCTGTCCTAAGACGCTTGAGTCAGATAAGAAAAAACTACAGGAGCATAATTTCAACAGGAGATTCTCTGGTGTATATCTCTTAAGATAAAATTCCTCTACCTTTAGAAAGAAGCGTTTATCTGTGCGGGCAGGGTTGTAGGATGCCAGGTAGGCAGCAATCAACAGGAACTTGGAGTAATAAGGCAGCTCAACATGAGTGTGAGCAGATAAACCTTACAAGAAGCAAAGGCAAAGAGTCAGATGTGCTTTGTCGAGTGTACCTGTAAAACTAAAGAAGGCACAGTACGTCATTAATGCATAATGCTCAGTGCAACCCACGATTTGGTGATAATATATTGTGATTTATTTTTGGTGCAGTGAACTAACATGCTGTTATCACAATTTCAGCATGAATCCACAGTGTCGCTGCACCCGATCAGCAGTTTCACAGTTTAACATCTGCTCTGCAATCCTGTTACGTCATTAAGTGCAACACTGCTCAGTGTGTGTTTGTACCTCTCAAGGCTCCGGTCTCCTTCTCCTCCATTTGCTGCATCTGCTCCCACTGAACACTGAACAGAAAAAAAAGAGAAGACACACAATGATGAAAAGAAACCACAGCATCAGTATTGAGCAGAATTACTAGAATGAGTCGTTGACATGGTTCATGAGAAGACTGAGGTAAAGAACACAGACCTCGACACTTCTCGCAGGTAAACAGTCCGCATGGCTTTTTTCAAATGAGGCTCAATGTTTCTCCACAGCTTGTGTGTGTCAGTCTCTTTCACTGAAAATACAAAATAGAGCAACATCATTGAAAATGGATATAATGTAATAATGAGTCCAACTTTTCTTGTAAAGAGATGGGATGTAATTAGGAAGGCAAAGAATAACAACACGATAACTATGAAAAAATTATTGCAGCTGCAGTTCAAATGACTGCTCAGTAGTTTTTAGCTTCATCATCAGGCAGTTGTTTTCTCTAATAAATCAACAGTACACTACCTGCACAGCACCAAATAGCACACAGACTATGTTAACGACCTGCAGAAGACAGTCGAACACCTAGAGGCTAAAGATCCAGATATTTTTGTCACACTAGACCAAAGAGGAACCCAAAACAAACCTATAAGATAAGTGATTTTTAGACTTCTGCATTTATGGGTTTTGCTGTAGCTACAGCGGCTTTGTGTAGGCTCTAAAGCTATGCTGTAGCAGACGTGCACCTCTTCAAATACGTAACTACATGCTGGAGACAGTCTGTGAGGAAGGCAAAAACTGTGATTGGCCAACTTGTGTTTTATCCTACAAGTTTAGGATGCTGGTATACATTGTTCAGAGCGAAGAATGTTGAAAACGGCCCAGTTATCGTCTCATTTTCACAACTTTTTATCACAGTGAATGAAAAAAATCCAACACTGAACTATAAATCTAAACCTTTGCCGTAGGTTTCTACATTCACCATAATTCTGGCTTTGTAGCTGTCAAGTGGACACAAAGACAACTGAATGCTAATGATGCTAAATGTCTTTTGGATGTGGGTATAGACAAATGTTTGCTAACACATTTACCACAATGACTTTATGTGTTGTCAGTGTTGTGTTTACTGCTTGTTCTGCTTCCCACAAGTGGCCAAAGAAAAGTATTAATACAGCTTTAAAGAAAAAAAATACAGAAAAGTTGAAATAGCTGAAGAGCGTCTCAACATGATAAAAGGAACCTTCTTCAAATGAA